TTGTCGCTTACGACAATAGGACCAGGATCAGGCAGACTAGGGACCTCACTGGGGGCTTTGTCAGAAAGTAGGCAGTTTGGTGGCATGGAAGGGACAGGGTCAGCGGGATTTGCAGGGTTAGCGGACGAAAATTTATTCAGTTCCGAGAAAAAATTTCGGAGCATCTGGACCGACTGAATAACAACTTTGGACTCATTTGTCCCAGCAGAAACCCCCATGGCTCCTGCGTTTACAGCTTTGGGTATAGTACAGGTTTCAACATCTACATGGGACGTTTTAAGTATTGGTTTGGGACGATGGGTGGCACCATGACAGATACTGTTAATAAGTTTAGGGGGGGCTGTTAACGTTAGGAGAGATGAGCTTAAGAGACTCCTCCAGGAGAGCCCTTTTTTCAGAGCTAAAGATATTAGAGGGAGACGAGGAAAAGAGGCGTTTTTTATTCCCCAAGTTTTTGGACTTGGACTTTATGGAGCACCCACTGAAGCTTTGGTTGTTTGTTAATTTGTTTTCAGTGTCGCAGGTTAACAATTTAAATTTAAATTAAAATTCAACAATTCAATTGGGGAGCCAGACGAGAGTCGACCGCCGCCGCCAAACTATAAATCTCTTGTGGGAGACATGGCATGGAGAGATTGCCGAGTTATTACCACAAGGCAACTTTTAGTCCGACAATCTCTCCATAGTGAGAGTACATTGCGGGAGAAGGCTGATACATGGCAATACATGACAGGCGAAAGACTTTCGTCGGGACATGACAGAGAAAATTTACATTGCAGATTTAACAAAACAAAATTTTACATGGCCAATTTTACATTGCAGATTTAAACATAACAAAAACTTAAAGATCAGACATGGAATGGCAGGACATGGCGCCAGGCAGGATGCGTTCCATCGCAGCAGTCAAAGCAGGTTTACAGGACATGGTAGGATAACAGGATGATTCCAAGGACTGACTCGGCAGCATGGCACCGAATCTCCCTCGCTGCAGTCGGGGCCAAGCACAAATTGGGGAGTACAAACATCCATCGCATTCGTATAATAATAATTAGATATCACAAGTACATGTTACTTTTTTCGGTGTGTGCCTTGCTCTGGGTCACAACTAGGACTGAGTAAGCCGCTGCCAGAGCGGCTGTACAGCTTCTTTATTTAAGTGACAAAAGAACTTATACATGTCAAAATATAAGGCAGGGACATTTATAATTTAAATGGCAGGGACCATTTGACATAATTGGTTTTACATAGAATTTTAAGGTTTAAGAGGCATTTAGGTTTTAAAATGGGTTTAACAGAAAATTTTAAAGATCAGCTGCAATGTTATTATAAAAACAGAGAATTTCAAAGCAAATTGTAGCAAAACGTGAGTTTAAATTAATAGTAGTATTTCAATTTAAATTTAAATATTAGGATTAAATTTAGCTTATTCATAATTTTAAGTAGTGATTCCAGTGCGTTGTGGCGAATTAGGTGCAGGAGAAAGATCCAGCGTTGACATTTTCCGGTCTTGGATCAGTGGAGGTGTAATGAGGCAGAGAACTTGGTCTCGTGCCGGCTTCAAGACATCCCGAGCTGGTCCCGAAGAACCGGAGTAGCTGCGCCCCTCAGTGGGCAATTTCCTGTTGGCCTAAGGGTGTAAGAGAACGTGTGTACTTAGCTGCCTGGGCGCTAAAATTTTAGCCTGGTGGCCAGGACAGGAGTCGCGTCTCCAGGAGATTTGGCGTGGAGGTGGCAATCCGGTGCTTGTTAGGCGTATTAGATGCCGCAATGATACCTAGATATAAGGTGTGTGTGTGTGTGTAAGTGTGTGGGGATAAAACGGTTATAATGACCAATAGGATGTGTTTCTGTAATTGTGCTTGCGCTTACGCTAGCGCAGTTATTTGTATTTCTATTTCCATGGGCTGGTGTTGGTTGGGGCCCAATTTGTACATTATAAGAAGGGGCATTAACCTCCTGGGCAGAAGAGCGGGGGCTCTTCGACAAATTTCCCATAGAATTTATAGGGAGAATGTTATTGGATAAATAGCGGTGAGGTGAGGAATTGTCAGGCAGAATCCAAGAAATTGGGGATGAAATTTCAAATACGATTTCCTCATTCGATCCAATGGTATCCATTTTAAATTAGTCTCCTTCCTTTTCCTTGTCCAGTTACTCCTTGTATTTCTCCTTAATTTCCCTTCTTTTAAAGGTATGCCGCTATTCACTCCTTCGTGTGTGTGTGTGTTACCCAGAAGTCAATTTAATATTTAGACACCACCAAAGGAATTTAATACTTTTTTATTTATTTGGCTCTCTTCCAGATTAAATTGCTTCTGTTGATCCTCAACAGCCAGCAGCCTTTGCTGCCAACGATCGAGTTGCTCCCGATTCGATTCAGATTTGCGTGGCAACACTTCATGCTGTCGCTGCCGTTGCCTAGAGTGGTCCTCTTTTCTTTTTTTATTAGTATTATTATTGTGCTCCACCCGAAGCTTTGCCTGAAATTTAGTCAGGTGGGATTCGGCCAGATTTTGGTGCTTCTTTTTATCTTGGCTGCGAAATGGATTACAATGCTGCCATTTGGCTTTCGAATGGGTCTTGCTAACGCGGCCATTACCAGGAGACTTGGACGAAAAGTGTTGGCTTTCCCTCATTCCCAAATCCGAGCGCTGATTATTCCGTAGCCTTTTGGTTAGTTGAGAGTTCATGTTGCTGTTACTGTTGCCAAATCTATTGCCACTAGAGACTCTCCCCTCATCACCCAAGTGCTGTGCAGACTGCTCAGAAACCTGTAGGATGGCAAAACGATTCTGATTCTGTTTTTGATTTGGGCGACTATATTTTGAAGTATGGTAAACTCGAGGCCGTTTGTGGCGACGACGTAGACCAGACTCCTTGTGCTAATGGGTGTCAAGGTGACCATTCTTATATTCCTGATAGGCAGGACAACCCCTGTAAGAGGATACATGGCGGCCGCCACAATTGCAGCACAATGGGGGACGGAAACGAGGTTTTTGGCAGGCCGTGGTAGGATGACGGCCCGCACATTTTAAGCAATTAAAGGGCCGCCTACACGAACCCTTAAGATGTCCAAATCTCTGACACCTATGACACTGGAGGATTACCCAGGGTGGATTGGAAGGAGCACGAGGATAGACCGAGGGCATATCCCTCTCCAAAGCTCTCGGTAGTCGGGGGGTTAAAGAGGAGACAGCATTTGGCTTTTTCCGCTCCTCGCTGTAGAGCCTTTTTGCGAAGTTGCTCTTAAAAGCCGGGGTCCTTAAGGCTGAAGACTTATTTGAGCCTAAAGGCGGAAAATTTTCCTCGTAGGATTTCGCGCAAATATTTGGTTTTTGTTGCTGTTGTTGCCTTTGTGTCCTGATACGCTCAGTCTCACCAAGGGAATTTGGCGATGTATGAACCAGAGCTTAAGAATCAAAGGTCCTTGGTCAACCGAACTGGCTACACTGGGAGCTTTTAGGTTTTCCCTTGGTTTGGGAGAGGGGCGTTTCGGAAGCCGGATTCGGACAGGTTTAGCAATAGCAAAGTTTTTTAAATCGGTAAAGAAGTTTTTGAGGACCTTCACAGACTTTATTTTAACAGTAGACCCATCACAAGAAGAAGGGCCCGGAGCAGCTGGATTTGGATGTCCTTGGGAAAAGTTTTTGGTTCTCTCAGTTTCAACTGATTCTCCGTTTCTTTTCTCCTTTTACGTTTGAGTGTCGCTTGTGAAAGGGCGAGGGGCACATGAGGAGGGCTGAAGGCACAGCCGTATTCGAATTTGGGTCTTCACGTCCTGGTCACAAATATTTGAAAAAAAGTAGAACTACAATGGGTTTTATTGAAGTCTCTATGCCAAATTCTATAGCTTCATCTCTTAAAGTCTCTGTGATCCACCCGTTTATACAGACAGACAAACGGACGGACAGAAATATATCGACTCAACGGTTGTTCCTGATCAAGAACATATATACTTTATGGGGTCGGAAATGTTTCTTTCTCTATCACTTCAACTGGAAGTTTTCTCAGTTTCCAATAAATATTCAACGCATCCAATAAAATGCCGTTTTATTGCGTTTATGCGGAGAGCAAAGCCAGGGTCGACGGCAGTGGTCTGATCGGTGCAATGACATTAAGGGAAAAGCCGGCTCCCAGTGCTTGGCGGCTAAAGCATTGCATAAAGGGTTTGCACATGATGGGCTCAGGAACATGGAGCTTATGTACGCACATGCGAAGTACGCCCGGGCGAAGTAAGGCCAGGTGAACATACGCAAAGCTCGATCAGGGGACAGATGTATACCACGATAATGCACTGGGCAGATAAGACTGCAGCGATAAGAGATGCGCAAGCCGACCAGAGATGCGTCATCGACCGAAACCGCTGCCGCTATAGAGATACATACAAGAATTTAGTACTATGAAAATCTGCTGCTGATACAAGACCAAACATCTTTGTTACATATGTACATTCACACGAATACAATATACCGTTGCAAACTGTGCCTTGGTTTTTTTTTATTACCTTTTTATTTTTTTATTACGTATAATTTTAGACCTTTGGCACTCGTCTTTTTGACTTTGTGATCAGAGCCGAATAGAAAGAAGGTCTGAGGTATCAAGTTTGGTTTTAACCTGAGCCACCCTTTTCACTATCGATAGCAAACAGCTAACTATCGTGGATCTTTTAGTGTCGTACAACGGGGTTTTGTTTTGGACTCCCCATGTTGGATCTGACCCCGTAAAATAGTAGGAATATTATAAATTATAATATTTTCGGTTGACATCTTCATGTAAAATTTGTTGTATTTTTTTCGATCTGAGTACTTGGTGACGAAAAAACTCTAAAATTGCCTCCCGCCATTTCCGTATTTCATTTTTCAGAAAAACCGCAAAAAACAGTTTTTCGATCTATGTACTAGGGTTTTTCCATGTGTACACTTATGATATTTTTGTGGCTTTTTTTATGGTATATGGTCACACTGTTGATATCACAGTTATATCGATACCTGCTTATTTGATTGAGCAGGGTTCGTCTCTTTCATGTCATCTCTAGTTTTCAAACCAAAAATGGCGAAGTGATTTTTTTCACATTTTCGTTTTTTTTGTCCGGCTCGCAAGCGATTTGTGTCAGTCAGGTGAATAAACCGGCTAGCCCAACTGTTTTTCGATTAAAATATTTCTGTTCTAATATATACCATTCAGATCATAAGACAGGAGAACTGCTGAGATATGTGGAACCAGTGCCTCTTTCAGCGCCGCCGCCGACTCCATCGGTGCCACCTCCTCTGCCAGATGCTCCTCCCCCGCCACCGCCGTCGGACCAGGGAGGTTGGGGCTCTTTAGCGCCATCTGTATCAGCGACTGTCGCAGCACCCACAGCTACCGCTGGCGGCGTCAGCATTGCCGTCAACCCTTATAGCAGCACCGGTCCAGCGACAATGGGTGGTGCTGGCAACCCCTACGAACAATATACGGCTGCACAATACGCAGCGATGACTCCGGAGCAGCAGTACGCCCTCCAGCACCATTGGCATCAGTGGCAGACCTACCAGCAGGAGTACGCCAAGTGGCATGCCCAGTACGGCGAGCAGGTAAGTACTCGGCGTTTTTATCTTACGGTTTCAATCTCATATCGCTTTCGTTCATTTCTACAGTACAAACGCGAAATGGCCGCTGCGGCTGCAGCCAATTCAGGAGGAGGATCCGTGACTGTGGCTCCGTCACCCGTTGCCGCCCCGACCCCTGCTCCCGCCCCCGTAGTCGCTCCTGCACCAGCCCCTACTCCGATTGCTCCAGGTCCTCAGGCCTATCCCCCGGGCCAAAACTATTATCCGACCGTTGCATCAAGTTCCGCTCCTATGACTGCTGGTCCACCGCCCACCTTGGTGGTGCCCGGAATTGCCGGAAAAATAATGGCGCAGCCCCAGTTGTATAATCAACCACCACCGCCGCCACCACAGAAATCTGGCGGGTACAATCAGCAGAACATGTGGCAAGGACCACCGCCTAGTATGCAGCAGCAGCAAGCACCAAACCGATACGGAAGCCAAATAAATTACAATAACCAAGGCATGGACAACCAGAGTTTTCCCAATTTACATCAACCACCTCCTAATTTACAAAGGCCGCCACCACAGAACCAAAACCCTATTCAGCCACAACAGGACAACCAATGGGGTAGTAGCCGGCCGCCTTGGCAGCAAGCTCCAATAGATAACTCTGGCCAGGGGCGCTGGGAAGGCCCCCCACCGCAAAACGACATTACCAATCGTTGGAGTGGACCGCCTCCTGGTATAGGTAACAACAGTAACGAGACCAATCGTATTCGCTGGGAGCCGCCGGGGCCACATTCGACACAGGTTACTCATGCAGATCAAAACCGCTGGATGAGTGGGCCACCGCCCGATGATCAAAATCAGAATCGGCGCTGGGACGGACCTCCGCCAAGCATTAATGATTCGCAGCAGAATCAAAATAACCGACAGAACAGCAATAGATGGAGCGGAAATTCTAGTGACGAAGTTGGAAACCAACGAACTGGTTGGGGAGGCGATAACAGCCAGGACTCGGACGGTCTTTCGCATAATCCCAACCAAGGCAAAATTCAGCAGAGCACTTTTACAAAGAACAGCTCGACTGATCTATCTGGCAGTACTGACAACTTTGGAAAACGTTCTGCTAACATCCAAAGCAACCATGGAAATAACTTTAATCAGAACCAGAACCATGGGGGAAATTTTGGTGGAGGAGGAGCAAAACAGGGAGGTCCTGGTAATTTCGTTGGCAGAGGAGGAGGAGGAGCAGGCCCAGATAATTTTGGAAATAATAATTTTAATCAAAACAACCGCCGCCAAAATAATCGGTGGGGTGACAACCATTTGGGTGGTAATCGCGACCCAAATCAAAATAAAAACTTCAATAACCTAGGATACTACGGTGGCGACAGCGATGGTCCCGGTAGCTTTAACAACTCAATGCGTGGTAACTTCAACCATCGTAATTTTACAAACCAGCAGAATCAACAGAACTCATCATACAATCAAAATCAACTTTGGAACCAGAACCAACATCCAAATCGCCAACAGCAACAGCCGGATCTGGATGAAGCCAGCTTTGACCGTCTGTTCAATCAATGGGAAAAGCAGTTCGAGGATTGGAAAAAAGCGAATGCCAATCATCCGGACAGGGAGGAATACCACAGATACGAAGAAGAGTTTGAAAAGCAACGGCGTCGTATTGCCGAACGAAGGGAACAAATGCGCCGACGTCGTCAACAAGCTGGCGGGAGTGGAGGCGGAATGGGACAAGGACCAGGACCCGGATCGGGACCAGATTCGTTATCTAGTTTTGGTGGTGGCTACCAAGAAGGTTCAAGAAACGATGCGGAAAAGCAATCAAGCGAAGAACGTGCTCCCGACGAGTTCAGACCCGTAACGGGCAACTATAATGAACAGAGTAAAGGTGGTAGCTTAAATTTGAATAGCTTCAGTGAAAATTCACAAAACAGAACCGAAGCCTTTGCAAATAAAAGTCGCGAATATGATACGAGAAATGATGGAAGTACAGATGAAAGTTGCTTGGGCCCTTCAAATTCAGAGCCAAACTGCAACCCAAGGCCAGAATCCAGCCAAGAGAACATAAACACTTCAAACCCGGAAGATGAAAATGAAAATACATCTCCGTTAGATCCTATTAGCCAAAAAACGAATCCCAAGACGCCTTCATCTGCATCTTCAGCAGACGCAGCTGGAAAACCTCGGGTAACAGGAAAACGTCGGCAACCGGGCGGTGACCCTACTTTATCAACACCCGCCAAACAGGTCAGGGAGGAGGCCATCCTTACCATTTCCTTGGACGACGACGACGACGAGGAGGAGGTCGAGTGCCATACGTCACAGGCTGCGTCTACGCCCATGGGGAACATTTTCAATAAAAGTGATGGCATACCCGGCCTGGATTTGGTGGAAGATGGAGGCAGCAAGAATCCGCCTTTGCTTTTCGGAGGAGTGGGTCAACCAGAATCGTCTGATGCATCAAAGCCGTCAGATCCGTCAGCATGCAAGAATCAGAACAACGAATCCCTAAGCAATGCCCTCAAAGATCCCGATTTTATCAATAACCTTACTCAGGCAGTGGCCAATGTGCAGGAGCGTGAGCAACAGCAGCAGCAAAAGCCAAAGGAGCAGAAAAGTGACGATGGAGATCAGTTCGCAGGCACTGATGGACGACCACTGTCCTTCGCCGAGTGGCAGAGAAAAAAAAACAATGGTCAAGATAGTAAATCGCGGGACTCGTTTGACTCAAGTAGCCCAGTTGGGCAAAATCAAACGTCTGATGTAGGGAAAGATTCTGGCAAGAGTCCTGGTCCAACAGCAGTTCCCGGAGGAGGTCCTGGTCCCGCCCAAAAGTCTGGTTTACGCTATAGCCCAAACATTGCTGACCCCCAAGTAGCCGGAAACAATTTTATGAACTTCGATAACAACGATTCAGGAAGTAGACCGTCGGGAGGTTCTGCCCCTGTCCCCGGCCTTGAGTTTTGTCCCCGAAACTTTGGACCCAATAACCAGGGTCCCTTCGGACCAGGTGGTCCTGGAGGGCCACACTTTGGGCCCAATTTCGGTCCAGGCGGACAGGGTCCTAATTTCGGACCCAGTGGCCCGGGATTCGGCTTCGGGCCTCGGTCGGGACCCAATTTCAGGCATGCCGGTCCCCCAAGCTTTGGTTTTGGTTTTGGCCCGGGGCCAGGACCAGGACCAGGACCTCGGGGTTTCGGCCCACGAGGAGGTGCCTTCGGACCAAGACGCGGCGACGATTTTGGAGGCCCATCCTTCGGAGGACCAAACTTCGGTCCGGGCAATGGTCCTGGAGGGCCAAGAGGATTCAATGGGCCCAACTTTGGGTCTGGACCCAACAGTGATAATAATCCCTTTCGACGTCAGAGCGGTCCGTCCATGCCCAACTTCGACGACGACGGTGGAGGAGGTGGAGTTGGTGGTGGTACGCAGCGTGGACAGAGAAACTTTCAGAACCGGAGTTACGGAGGAGGGAACAACCGCAAAAACTGGAACGACGGGTATGTGTCTTTATATCCGCTTTTTTATTTTAACCTTCAATTAACGCCTTTCTTGAAAAAATCGCTAAGATATGTACAGAGTTCACAATGTCTAAATTTATCTAAAATCAAAACCGAAATCCAAATAATAAATAGAAAGGGGAGGAACGATGTAGTTGCTATAACTCCCTTTAAAACTCTAAATCTTTGATTTGTCTGATTGCCCGAAGCATCTTTTTTGAATAGAGTACAAGTCTTATACGATATTTTCGACTTCTTTGTAATTTCTTCATTTATTTAAAGATAGAGATTGTACAATAAGATTGCATACGAAATTTAAGTGTTTATTAAAGAAAAGAGAGAGATAAAGAAGTCCTACTTCCTCAAGGACTTGTATTTTTTCATTGATAGCAATTTAGTATGTTGTCCGAAATGTGTATAAAACGTAAGCTTAGGGCCTCCACAATAATCTGGAGAAGATTGTCTCGCCAAATCAATCATCACCCCGCGCTATGTCCTCCTCTCTCTCGGTCCTTGTCTCTCTTACTCTCGCTCTTTATACTGATATCATCCAATTTAATGTACTAGATACCTTGCGTAGGCCTTTTTCTGGTTATCGTTAATGCTGGAATTTCGATTCCAACCCCGTTTTCTCTTCTTTTCTTCTACTTCTATGCAATACTGATACAAAAACGAATCATACAAAACTATAAAAAAAATATATATATATATATATGTGCTATATGTGTATTACAAATAATGTGGCACTACAAAAATATAATGTTACTGAAAAAAAACCAACAAAAAAACGGATTATGCAACATTGCCATTGGCATTTGGTTTCCCCCCCAAAAACCAATACCCCACATACCCCATATACATTTTGTATGTTGTGGTATTGCAAAACATTTCGCACCTACCGATCCGTGTCTGATCTGATCCATTGTCTGAGCGCAGCAAGAACAGGGGCGGTAAAAACCAACAGCAGCACCAGCAGCAGCGCAGGAACTGAGATCTGAACTTTCAACTTTGAGCTATGACCTATAAACTTTGACCTCTGCAGTTTGAACAGCATAAAATCAGAAAAAAATTTGAAAGTAAACTTTATTGGGATCTGAGTAGACAAGTCAGAGATAAAATTAATTGGGGGTGCCCACCTCACCTGACCTATCGCAGAACCCAGAGAGCAAATATAAATATAGACCATAAGGGCACACCATCTTTCAGATAAAAATAACGAAAAAAATATATTGAAAAGAATACAGAAACAAAAGTGGTCGATATTTTAAATTCTTCTATATGCATAACTTTTTCATCCTAAAGAAAAAACTCATCATAAAATGTAAAAACTCAAATCGTCGAAGAATTTATTTTTTGTGTCCTGAATATTTAACTGACGCGATTTCAATATTCTTTCAATATAAATTCAACAGAAAAAGAAAACATCAGTCTCGCTTAGTGGAATATGTAATTTTCATATATTGACACGAAGTTGTATAAGTCGTATATGTTAAAAATATACAATGAATTTAATTGATTAATAAAGGAAGACAAAACTAAACCAATTTTCCTCGGGGGAAACTTATAAGCCAAACTCTATAAAATGGTCCGATCTTTTCGGTACTGTCCGTCTGCTTAATTTCAAGATTCTTCTATTCAATTCCAAAAATTATTGGTCTGATCGTAAAAAGAGGTTTTGTAATGGGTATCTCATAGTCAAAGTATAGTTTTTAAGGAAATCCTGTTAAAAACTCAGACAGAAATTGTCTTAATATTTGCGCAAAATTTTAAAAAAACTCGAAGAAAATGAGTTTATTTCTATAAGTCCTATTGATACGTTGATTTTTATATCTTTAAAAAAAAAATAAATCGGAAATGTTATAATTTCACAAATGGTGAGTCCGCTTGATATGTGTTATTACCCTGCACAGTGCTTTTCAGGGCTAAAATAAAGTTAAATCTTGTCTGTTGTCCGCTTTAAAATTATTGAATACGAATCAAACAAATTCCGAGGATTAAGACTGCCTTTTGTGGTAATAGCCTGTATTAATTCGAAACGCACTGTAAAAGGGAAAAGTGGTCCGCTAAGCTTGAACAAAATGTATTTAACATATTTCTCCGATTATAAGCGATATTTTAGGGATTTTAATACAATTTGTAATTCAACGGATTTAGCCGTTAGTCTAGCCTAAGTTTAGAGCAAGTTAATATACGTATAAAACATATTTATGGTCGCCGACCCCCTTTCTCTTGAGGGGGACTTGGCATATCTGCCCCTGCCTGCCACGCCCCTAAAAAAAATTAGTAAATTTCAAACCAAGTAAAAGTTCAAGTGTTTTTCTTTTGGTTTTTAAACATTGAAAACCTCAATACGAAACGAAAAATCCATTGAATGTGAAATCAAAAACAAATTCAAATTTCAAAAATATGTATAACAACCAAACAAAAACCAACTGCAACCGCAACCCCAACCAATTACCACATCATCAACCAAACGAACAAACATAATCAACCAAATTATATACGAACTCTGTGCGCCACCTACTGACCTACCGTTATCCGCAACCTGAAAACCAAAGACAGGTGCCGTTCCCCGACGAACCTGTCTACCGCCCGATGAAAGTTTTCGACTACTCAAACTCTCCCTCTGCCGCAAAGGTGATCGACTACGGTCACTTGTCGGCGGGTGGTTCCGGATCAGGCGGAAGGTCTAGCATGGGCGCCGGAATACCTGATTTTCGACCCGTACAGACTTTTGAGTACGGCCATGCTTCGCTACCGGGACCGAATAGAATGCCTGCAGGAGGAGGAGGAGAAGGAGGAGGAAGAATGCAAGGATTAGGAGGAGGACAAACCCCCATTGGTGTGGGAGAAGGTTCCGGACGTGGATATGGACAGGGAGCTGTCATGCCAGGCAAGCGTAAAAACAAAAGAAAAAATAAACAGCAACGCCAAACGGGGCGCTTAAACGTTCAGGAAAATGAAAATCAAAACACTTTTTTAAACGATGAAAACGGCCAGAAGGAGGTGAGTTAGTTATCCATAAAAAATTTTGAGTTTCCTTATAAGTTACATCGCTTAAGAAACTTATTGATTCTTCTCAAATCCATAGGACAGTGTCATAGATGCAGCCCATCAAGACGAGTCGTCCCAGGACCATGGAAGCCAATCAAATGATCTCGAAGACATTTCCGACGGTGAAGAGTAAGATCCATATAAATATATTTAAAATTGAACAAGTCATTTTATGAAATGTTTTTCAGTAACCTTACAACGATCGACTGTGATGAGGTGGATTCACTTCCCTCGCCACCATCCATGCAAACATGGAGTGATGGCTCCGATTTACCGGGAAATCTGCACGTTCTTCCAGTATCAGTCAAAGAACCCGCTTCTTACGTTCGGGATAAAATATTTACGCCTCCGCCTCCGCCACTGTCTTTGTTTCCTTCGAGAGCCACTGCCAACCAGAACTTGCCCCAGGTTGTCAGTGCTCCCCACTTGGAAATGAGCGTGCCAACTAACGAAAATTGCAACACGATATCCGTAGACGAGGTGCTGCTGCCGCCGGGACGTCTGACCCGTCCCAAGCGCATTTGCATTATTTTGCGCGGACCACCGGGTTGTGGCAAGTCGCATGTGGCTCGTCTGATCAAGGACAAGGAGCTGGAGATGGGCGGCGCCAATCCACGTATCCTCAGCATTGATGACTACTTTATCATTGAAAATGATTATGAAGAGAAGTGCCCCAAGACAGGAAAAAAGGTAGGATGGAGATTTACTCAATAGGTATAAAATAATAATTGTTATTTTGTTAAAGATTCCCAAAAAAGAGATCCTGTACGAGTATGACGACACCATGGAGGACACCTATATGCAGTATCTTTTGAAGTCGTTTAAAAAAACGCTGAGCGACAATTTGTACGATTTCATTATTGTGGACTGCAATAACAATTCACTGCGCACGTTGAATGAATTCTACTGCCATGCCAAAGACTCAAACTTTGTGGTATTACATAAAATTTAATTTCTAGTTTACAGCAGTACATAAAGTATATCAATCTATTTCCCTGCAGCCCTATGTTGTGGACTTGCACTGTGATCTGGAGACGTGTCTGGGAAGGAATTCGCACCAGCGCACAAAAAATGATATCCAGGTGGTCCTCGACAACTGGTGCCCCACACCACTGCATTACATCAAGCTGGACGTCAGTTCACTGGTAGAGAATGTGGTAGAGATGGAAGACGTTGAAAACATGGCAACGGTAACTATGCAGTAAGGCGGCTGTGCAATGTCTGGACTCACATCAAGCCATTCTGTCGAACCGCGTTTTCGGGGTGGCCAGGGGCGCGTCGTAGTCAGCCGACCCTTCTGGCGCTCACTACGGACGCCTCTGGCCAGCCCGGAGGCTCCAGCTGCGAGATTCAGTTGAAATCTAAAACGTCGGATAGCCAACCGAATCATGAAATGAAATTTATTGTCACAATTAGAGTTTAAGCCAAGAATCCCATAAAAGGGCAACACCTTTGACCTGGCTAGGCCAAGTTCTTTCTAAAAACGTACTAACCACAAAAAACTCAATATAATGTTAAGTTGTTTTTTGCATTTATGCATATATATACTATGATATATACTCTACTTTGATATTTTATTACATGCTATATGCACAGTTCCTTAGCCCTAAGATCCACTTTCGTATCTAAAATTAAGCTCCCTAGTAAAGGCAACTCTGCAAGCGAGGTCAAACGAACATTTTTTGATATATGGCGGCTTCGTTTCACTTTCAGGACGACAATGCCAATGCCGACGACGCTACTCCGTCGGCCGCTACAGGCTCCGAAATTGCGAATGTGGAGGAGGAAGACGATGACAACAGTGCCGACGCCTCGAACGATGTAAGTTCTTGTGATTTAGTTTGTCTAACTCTTAAGGAGTTTTACGGATCGACTCAGAGAGGGGTAACGCTCAAATTAGTGGGTGGAAATCAAGCATCCTATATTAATTTCGACTTTCTGCTCCATCGAGTCTGCAATCTCAAACAATTTTTCAATTCCAATTTTATTCCATTTAATCGGGACATTGTATTTTGTTTTGCGTTTAGTGCGGCTTCCTGAAAAGCAAGTGGGAGTGCGACACTACCGAAGATAATTTGGGTAAGTTATTTGGCTTTTCTTTTGGGACATTTAGACGACCTCTTATCATTTCTTCCCCTGCAGCCCGTTTGGATGGCACCAAGCGACTGATGCAAAACCGTAAGGCAGCCAGCATGGCCGACTACCTCCAGCTAGATGAGGAATGGGAGCCACCCAGATTCACAGCCAACGGGAAAAAGAGGGTGAGTGTGTATAGAAAGAGATGGCTACATTATGATATTCCCATCTCTTTTCAATTCATTAAAATTTTTGTAATTTGCTTTAAAAGTTAACTAGACACTAACTTTTTGCATGCATTATGAGTCGGAACGAGATCGGCTGACTAACATTTGAACTTATTTTAATTTGTTTTGCTGTATTTTAGGTACGTTGGGCCGATATCGAGGAGAAGCGCTCGCAGGAAAAGATGCGTGCTATTGGGTTCGTCGTGGGCCAAACCGATTGGAACCGCATGATGGATCCCCATGCTGGGAGTCGGGCTCTGAACAAAACCAAATATATTGAGCGCATCAAGAAGCGTCGCTAGGTGCCGTTTTATCTTAATGATTATTGGCAACTGGCACGCAAACATGGACAATTCGCGTTAATAATCGTAATGCATTTCCGGGTAGCATGCGGGGATCGAAATACTCTTATCAAACAACCCCCATGAACTAAATAAAACCACCATTACCATCACCACCTACCATTTATAAAAGCTTAAAGGACCCCATATTAAAATTAATCACTCACCATCTACGCCATTCAGTATAAAACTTTAATCGTTCTACCCATTGTTGCATTCACTTTTTTGTAAAGAAAACAAAGTTCGTGTCAGTAAGCTCACGATGCATTTGATCACTTAAACAATTATTTGAAATATCAATCCCTTTGCGGGTAAATAGAGTAAAGCATGCGTTTAGAATCGCAATCTTTTTTGTATTTCAATTTGTAAATTTGACATTTCATTGCCGAAGGAATGAGAAATGTATACAATTTTTATGTAGACCAAATATAACATACATACAAACTGAAGTGCCCTGTGGTTTTAGGTCAGTGTTCAATGTTTAGTGTTAAGACGGGTTGAACGAACCCCTTCTGCTTTTTTTTAATGCCGCTCAAGGAAGTACTCAAGCATTGACAGCTGTTTGTGAGGAGGCGAGGCAGGACCTTGGTGGAGCCTGGGAAGAAGGTTGCATCGCTCACATGCTTGCCAAGGTGATTTGAAAATGACAGCTTCAGGGAGAGTTGCACAACACGGCGTATGAAGTATGCGCATGTTGGAGTGGTTTGGAGGCTCGACTGGTAGCCTGAGTGGGCTAAGTGGGGGTTGGGGGGTGCAAGTCACGCAGGGTGATAAGAGGTGGTGGGGCGGCGCAAATGGGACCAAAAGTCACCAATAGTTTACATCCACTGACACGCAAACCATTGCAATCGGTGATGCCGCCAACTTTCGATAGTTTGGATCAATCAAATTAAAATATGGCCAGAAACCAATTACATATAGTTTGTACTAGCTCTAACCCAGTCCAGGATACAGCTTCTAATAAAGTTTTGAAAATGCATAAGTCTAGAAACCATAAAAGTATTTTCAAGGAGGAAAAGTTACTTTTGCATTTGGTTTTCGTTTCCTATTTGGCGGCTTTTTTGCCAAGTTTGTGGCTCTGACAGGCGACTTACCGAAGACTCTCGAACGAAGCCGAATGCTGCTCTGCTGCTGGCTGGCTATTTTGCTGTGTCAGTCGAGCAACACAACTCGAACGCAACGGTAGACGAGAAAAAAAGCACGGCTAATGCCTCGTGCTTCTCCAAGCCCCAAAACCAAAAACAACAACAAGGCGTCGCCGAAAACAAGAGCAATGGCAGTTGCAGGAACCACATATTCTCGTCAACCATTAGCTAATCTGCAATTAAATTAAATTAAACATATTTTTTTCAAGTTTTCTTTGAATAAAATAAAAAGTTACCGTTCTAAATAACAACTTATAACTAATAGTGCAAACAAAAAAAATAGCAGCGCCCGCATTTTGAAGTTACGTCAAAAGGAGTTAGTCGCGAAAGCAGAATACCCGAAGAGCGTGAGGGAGAGATCTGACGGAAAGGCAACGAAAGCACAACAGGAGAGCACGCGATAAACGAATTCAACTGTAATTGGGAAAGGAGAAAAAGAGTGAAAGCAGTAGCAGAGGAAGCGACAGCGTCAGCGAAAGTAGAAATTTGTTTTTGGCGCGTCGTTGTCGCCGCATTTGGTTTCCTTTTTTATTTTTTTTCCTTGTTTTGGCTTTTGTTTGCGTTTTAGTTTTTGCGTTTCCAGCCAGCCGGCTTGGCCATCGAGGCGATAAACCAGCGTGTGGGCAGTGGGAGAAGGAGCTAAGGAGGAGCAGGCGAGGGAGGCAAAACCGAAGGCTTATGTAAAGCGTAATATGGAAGCATGTCGTCTACTTCCAGCTCCGTGCTAGCGTTGTCATCGTTTAATCTATTATTTTTCACCCAAGGTAAGAACCTGACACTTTACATAATCTCCTATCGGCTTCCTCTTCGTATTAGACTTCTCCAAAGGCACTCGGACATGTAACTCGAATTCTGACTGAACAAGGTTTCCCACTTGGCTTCCGATTGGTCCAGTACAATATGATCCTCTGGTCAAAAAAAAAATGGCTATAGATTTTGAGGATTCAGTTGGTTGGGCCAAGAAACAATAAGAAATATTAATAATCCAGATTCTCTTAGCCAGGCTAAGATTCTCAGAAAATAAAATCACTCTAAGGGCACTCATGCCGTATGAATAATTTTGTTGGCTTATTGAAAAACACTAGAATAGATCTGCGAGAAGGTATCCGTCATTGCTACGTATTATGACTCATACCTATACTTATTACACAAATATTATTTAAAATATTTATTGCTCATTGGTAAAGGCAGCAGCTGGCTTTTTTTCAATTATTGTGGGAGCATTTCGTCGTATGGAGCAACGTCGCATAGCCTAGTCTTATTTGGCATAGACGCGTTTACATTTAACGCGTCAGCAAGTTGAATCTTGATGGCTCGCACAGCTGTTCCTAGATGTAAAATGGTTTTTTTAGTTTTCTGTTTAGTTTTGGTTTAGAACAGTCGCCAGACTAAATTAGATGCTTAAGGCCAAGCCAAGCGCTAAAAATTGGAAACGAAATGTGGCAAAGCTATAGAGGGATGGAAACAAAGGGCAGTCTACTGGCAGTCAAGGACTCTTCGTGGGGAATATTGCCCAATCAAACAAAACGCTGTTGTTGACCCAACACTGTGGTTTTGACACTTGCACCACCACCACACAATGTGGGAGAATATGCAACAATTTTCTTTGTTGTTTTGCAAGGACTGAAACTATTTTTAGGTACTTACGAGCCCCCACACTTAAGCTACCCAAAGAACAATTGGACTGGATTCCAACTTGCCGATTTGAAAGGGGTCGAAGACTTCAATACCGTCGAAAACCTTTTAACTATAGTCCCAAAACTCCAACCATTTGACTCTTTGCAAGCCAAATGCAATAACATACCAAATCTCATTTATTTTTAAATATTTTCATATTTTTAAAAAGGTATACCTTAAAAAGTCCCCAACATGAGGAATCTTTTGACAATGAAATCATAACATGAAACAGTGGTTTGGTTAAGGCCAAGTCTTCAATGCCAATGCCAAGTAGTATATGTTACCCACACGCCTCAAAACCTGTTATCCTTGTATTTTATTTAACTTTAACCCATAGGCAGACACCCGCACCCAACAAAACAGAAAGCCTGCCCTGTAATGTAGGCAATCAAAAAATTCATTTTGCACTTATGCCAACCGACAAGTTCAACAAGTGTGACCTACCGGGCCTGAAATGGATAAGAGACAAAATTAAAGACTTAGTGCTGGTTCTGCAGTCAATTACCTGCCTTTTGCCATCCTAGCCCTTATTCTTGCCTCATCCCTTTCTGCGTCATCTCCTTCCAACAAAAACGGCACTGGATTTATGTAGGAAAAGGTTTGGAGTTGGTTTATTCCACTGTTTATACAAAAAAAAAAGTGGTACGAGTCTAAATACAAACTGTCGAAATAGTGGCTTTTATTTGTCGAGGCCACAGTACGTTGTGAAAAACTTTTCCCGAGCTGAGCCAGGACGTGGGATGAGTTCTTGTCGTGACCTCGTGAGCCGATGGCATGCAAAATGCAACTAATTATGAATTTTAATTAAATTTGGCGTTTTATTTTGTTTTTGTGCTACTGCTGTGTTTCCCGTGGGCAATTGTAATAATAAAGTGTCTGGGGGAATTCCCACCAAAGTTTTCAGCCCTATCCCCTCTCTCTTGCCAGCTCTGTGACTTTCTTCTACTCTTTGGACTTTTCGCATCACTTTCTCTTGACATTAAGAGGCACACCCACAAAGAGCTTGGCCCGACTCGGCTGGGATAAAAATAAAACAGGAAAAAAAGAACATTGAATGGCTCTTTGTGGAACCGACCAATCCCACCATCCCAGCTAGGCTTCAAGAGGTTGTTGTTCGTGTTTCGTTTGATTGGGCCGGGTTCATGGCATTTTGACCCTGGAGGATTGCATTTCGCTTTTGAACAGATACGGAACAATACAAAATTCCAACGCCACCGTCACCGCATCCAGAAAATGTTGGCATTTTCAGAATGCAAGTTCAACGAAAAATACAAAATTCGGTTTTTATTTAAGTAATCTTATCAATATTTTGCCAAGGCCAAAAATTCAATACTCAAGCTGTGAAATTTTGCAAAAATTTGTGATAAATTAACATAAATTTTTCACACTTATTTCTCTTGCAACCATGTACATATCAGGGGAAATGTTTTGTGTGTTGTATTAGTTTATTTTACGCACGGCTGCTTTAATCTTTATTATTTATTTTATGGTAAATATAGTTGGATTTTAAATGACCGTTCCTGCTTTTCTCGGACAGATTTCATGTTTTGTTTAAAGGAATTATATTGTGTAGGGCAATTAAGGAGCCAATCCTATCACCATCGTCCTTAAACGTTGGCTCAGTCCCTCAGCCTTCAGGACTGAGCAGTCCTTCAGTTCTCTGTGCTCAGTCCCTAAAAAGGTTTTTGGCGAAATTAATGCTCTTGTGGCATAAACTGTATTGGACATTGGTTATTAAGAGCATTCTATGGTCGTTCTAAGCCGTTCTAATGCATTATTAATCATTCCCATACAAGTTTCAGGGATATTTTACGGGTCCACTGAGAGAAATGCATTTACATTTTTATTGGGTTTCCTTCCTTTTAAAATATTTAACTTTCAGTCTGAACCATTAATCCTTTTTCCCAAGTGACTGCCAATGTACTATATTCCCGAATACAAAGTTGTTGTTTGCTTTTATTTGCCACATGTGGAAGAGAAAGTACCACACATGGAATGCACGGAATGCAATCGAAACTCGCCCTGGGAATCATAAATGTTGCAAAACAAAATTCCACTCAAAAGTTTTCACCATTACCCAGGATATTTGTCCAGGTGTATAGGTTCGCGTGCAAATATTCATCGTTTCATTAATCCAACTCGAAACAGGCCCTAAATTAAGTTGATCCGATTTGCTTGCATGATATTATTTACGTGGCTTACATACCCACGCGTTTGGAACAAAGACATGTACAAACATATATAATTGTCCTTAGTATCTCTAGTGTCTCTAGTAGCGGAGTATCTTAAACGATTCCTGGATCGATTCCCCACCATTCTGCATCAAAATCCAGAGAGAAAATATTTTTTAGATTTTTTGTCCATTTTTCATGAGGGGATTCCTCGAAAATGGGGTTTTCCCCTATAGGGTCCACAGTGATGGCTATATCTTCCCCAATTCTCATCCGATTCTCAAGCGGAGTACCTTAAACGATTTCTAGATCGATTTGCCACCATTCTGCATCAAAATCCTGAGACAAAATATTTTTTAGATTTTTCGTCCATTTTTCGTGAAGGGATCCCTCGAAAATGGGGTTTTCCCCTATAGGTCCACAGGCATGGCTATATCTTCCCCAATTCTCATCCGATTCTCAAGCGGAGTACTTTAAACGATTTCTAGATCGATTTACCACCATTCTGCATCAAAATCTTGATACAAAATATTTTTTAAATTTTTTGTCCATTTTTCATGAGGGGATCCCTCGAAAATGGGGTTTTCCCCTATAGGGTCCACAGTGATGGCTATATCTTCCCCAATTCTCATCCGATTCTCAAACGGAGTACTTTAAACGATTTCTAGATCGATTTGCCACCATTCTGCATCAAAATCCTGAGACAAAATATTTTTTAGATTTTTTGTCCATTTTTCGTGAGGGGATCCCTTGAAAATGGGGTTTTCCCGAATAGGGTTCACAGTGATGGCTATATCTTCCCCAATTCTCATCCGATTCTCAAGCGGAGTACCTTAAACGATTTCTAGATCGATTTGCCACCATTCTGCATCAAAATCCTGAGACAAAATATTTTTTAGATTTTTTGTCCATTTTTCATGAGGGGATTCCTCGAAAACGGGGTTTTCCCCTATAGGGTCCACAGTGATGGCTATATCTTCCCTAATTCTCATCCGATTCTCAAGCGGAGTACCTTAAACGATTTCTAGATCGACTTGCCACCATTCTGCATCAAAATCCTGAGACAAAATATTTTTTAGATTTTTTGTCCATTTTTCATGAGGGGATTCCTCGAAAATGGGGTTTTCCCCTATAGGGTCCACAGTGATGGCTATATCTTCCCCAATTCTCATCCGATTCTCAAGCGGAGTACCTTAAACGATTTCTAGATCGACTTGCCACCATTCTGCATCAAAATCCTGAGACAAAATATTTTTTAGATTTTTCGTCCATTTTTCGTGAGGGGATCCCTCGAAAATGGGGTTTTCCCCTATAGGTCCACAGTCATGGCTATATCTTTCCCAATTCTCATCCGATTCTCAAGCGGAGTACTTTAAACGATTTCTAGATCGATTTGCCACCATTCTGCATCAAAATCCTGAGACAAAATATTTTTTAGATTTTTTGTCCATTTTTCATGAGGGGATTCCTCGAAAATGGGGTTTTCCCCTATAGGGTCCACAGTGATGGCTATATCTTCCCCAATTCTCATCCGATTCTCAAGCGGAGTACTTTAAACGATTTCTAGATCGATTTGCCACCATTCTGCATCAAAATCCTGAGACAAAATATTTTTTAGATTTTTTGTCCATTTTTCGTGAGGGGATCCCTTGAAAATGGGGTTTTTCCCTATAGGGTTCACAGTGATGGCTATATCTTCCCCAATTCTCATCCGATTCTCAAGCGGAGTACCTTAAACGATTTCTAGATCGATTTGCCACCATTCTGCATCAAAATCTTGAGACAAAATATTTTTTTGATTTTTTGCCCATTTTTCGTGAGGGGATCCCTCGAAAATGGGGTTTTCCCCTATAGGTCCACAGTCATGGCTATATCTTTCCCAATTCTCATCCGATTCTCAAGCGGAGTACTTTAAACGATTTCTAGATCGATTTGCCACCATTCTGCATCAAAATCCTGAGACAAAATATTTTTTAGATTTTTCGTCCATTTTTCGTGAAGGGATCCCTCGAAAATGGGTTTTTCCCCTATAGGTCCACAGGCATGGCTATATCTTCCCCAATTCTCATCCGATTCTCAAGCGGAGTACCTTAAACGATTTCTAGATCGATTTGCCACCATTCTGCATCAAAATCTTGATACAAAATATTTTTTAGATTTTTTGTCCATTTTTCATGAGGGGATCCCTCGAAAATGGGGTTTTCCCCTATAGGGTCCACAGTGATGGCTATATCTTCCCCAATTCTCATCCGATTCTCAAGCGGAGTACTTTAAACGATTTCTAGATCGATTTGCCACCATTCTGCATCAAAATCCTGAGACAAAATATTTTTTAGATTTTTTGTCCATTTTTCGTGAGGGGATCCCTTGAAAATGGGTTTTTCCCCTATAGGGTCCACTGCGATGGCCATATCTTCCCCAACTCGCATCCGATTGTTAAACGATTTCAGGATCAATTTGCCATCATTCTGCATCAAAATCCAGAGACAAAATATTTTTTAGATATTTTGTCAATATTTTGTGAGGGGATCCCTTGAAAATGGGTTTTTTCCCTATAGGGTCTACTGCGATGGCCATATCTTCCCCAACTCGCATCCGATTGTTAAGCGGAGTACCTTCAACGATTTCTGGATCGATTTGCCACCATTCTGTATCCAAATCCAGAGACAAAATATTTTTTAGATTTTTTTTCAATTTTTTGTGAGGGGATCCCTTGAAAATGGGTTTTTTCCCTATAGGGTCCACTGCGATGGCCATATCTTCCCCAATTCTCATCCGAATCTTAAGCGGAGTACCTTAAATGATTCCTGGATCGATTCTCCACCATTCTGTTTCAAAATCCAGAGACAAAATATTTTTTAGATTTTTTTTTCAATTTTTTGTGAGGGGATCCCTTGAAAATGGGTTTTTCCCCTATAAGGTCCACTGCGATGGCCATATCTTCCCCAATTCTCATCTGATTTTGATTCAAGCGGAGTACCTTAAACGATTCCTGGTTGATGCCGATTGATTCTCCTCCATTCTGCATCAAAATGCGGAGACAAAATATTTTTTAGATTTTTGTGAGGGGATCCCTTGAAAATGGTTCTCCTTTTAGGGTCCTTAGAGAATTAGACTTATTAGACTTAAAATGCAGGGCTTGAAAGCCGAACATGATTAATATTATTAATTATGATTTTTTCCTGTTTAAAAGGTATTTATTATCCTGAAACTAAATTCAATTTCCCTTTCTTAATTGACGGAGAAACAAAACGATTGGGCAAGATTAATTTTTTCATTCTCGTATTTGACGTGTGCCTTGCTTAAGGTTTCGCACTAGAACCTTATCGTTTGCTTTAAATCGTTTGCTTTAAATTTTATCGTTTGCTTTAAATCCAGTTAAAAGTCTACAGCTGAGGCGAAAAGGATAAGTTTTTTACAAGAGCTCTTCAAATGACTCGCACAGATGCTCAAAAGGGTGCTTCAAAGCTTCCTTTTTGCCAATTGCCTGCGATCTCACAGTTGGGAACCATTATGAAAACTTTATTCCTAGTTGCGTCGAATACACACAAGTGTACAAAGATCACTGAATAGTAAACAGAGTTGGCCATACAGTCCTGACCGCAAATTATGCAAAAAGGGCGCAGCAGGCAAACAAGAAACGTAATGGCAACTGGGGGAACATTTTCAACTACAGTTTTACTTGGTTAAGAAAAAAAGCAGTCTTCTAGAATTTGAATCATTCTAAAGATGTTTTCGCTTTACCTGAACTTCGGGCCGTGTCATAATTTGTACTTGTTGTACTTAGTTTACTGTACTGAAGTACAGACCTTACTGTTCTTTATTTGACACAAATCGAGGAAGCTGCTTAAATAATCAAGCACTGAAAAGAGCAACAGGAAGGAATTTGTGCTGGCTTTGGTGCCCAAAAGTGGGAATAGAAATGGAAAGTGAGGCGAAATCGGTAAAATATATTGAAATAAGGACGAAAGTCAGCCGTTCTTCAGTTACCGCCTTGTTTTAAAAGCAATCGGCAAAAATTTTTCATTCTATAATGCTTTTAATTTAGCTGTCATTCCTGTTTCTATTTCCCCCCTTTTTGTCACTTCAGTCACTTCGTTTTCCGGATAGTTTTCTTTTGCTCGAATATAGTCATGTTCCATCTTTAAAACAAGAAAGGAAAGCTAACTTCGGGCGGAGCCGAAGTTTATATACCCTTGCAGTTAAAACCGGATATATATCGCAAACATCGGATATAGTTGGCCGATCCTTATGGGAATAGGAATATATAATCCAATTTATTTCAATACAAAATCTAAAACAAGAAAGGAAAGCTAACTTCGGGCGGAGCCGAAGTTTATATACCCTTGCAGTTAAAACCGGATATATATCGCAAACATCGGATATAGTTGGCCGATCCTTATGGGAATAGGAATATATAATCCAATTTATTTCAATACAAAATCTAAAAAAAGTCCCAAACTTCTATCTTCAAAAATACGAAAGTTGATATTTCTACCAAATACCATTTCCGATCGTTCAGTTATATGGCAGCTATGGGATATAGTCGGCCGATCCTAATGAAATTTGGTAGATTGGATCAACTGGCCAAAAATATAATCTGTATTCAGTTTTAGCTTTCTATCTTCAAAAACACGAAAGTTGGGTCATTTCCGATCGTTCAGTTATATGGCAGCTATAGGATATAGTCGGCCGATCCTTATGAAATTTGGCATGTCGTAATGTTTTGCCAAAAAATGCTCTCATGTTAAATTTGAACTCTCTAACTTTAAAAACGTCAAAGTTATACCATTTCCGATCAATCAGTTATATGGCAGCTATAGGATATAGTCGGCCGATCCGGGCCGTTCCGACTTATATACTGCGTGCAAAGGAAAGAAGGGTGTGTGCAAAGTTTCAAGACGATAGCTTTAAAACTGAGAGACTAGTTCGCGTAGAAACAGACAGACAGACGGACAGACAGACGGACAGACGGACAGACGGACAGACGGACATGCTCATATCAACTCAGGAGGTGATCCTGATCAAGAATATATATACTTTATAGGGTCGGAGATGTCTCCTTCACTGCGTTGCACACTTTTGACCAAAATTATAATACCCTCTGCAAGGGTATAAAAAGCATAGGTGTCGCCCGCCGGGCTGTCTGCGGGTTTATTTGCCTGGATTTATTTGCTTATTTTGTCTGACAGAGACAAAGAATCGCCCACTTTTATAGGGTGAAGTGGGTGTTTGTTTATGGCAAAATCAATGCTAAGCGAGTCTAAAAATAGAAACTGGCCAAAATGCGTCACTATGTACGAGTTGGCCAAAAAGGCCCTGCGCGACCTAATTAAATCGTTCGACAATTGATGGCTTGGCCCATCGGCAAGAAAGTGAATGATTGGATGATTGAATGACGAACTAATTGACTGATTGACCTTGCACTAGAAAAAACGAGATTGCTGGTTAAGGGAAATACTTTTCTTAGGACCTTAAAAATAAGCACCCACTTTCCTTAATTTTAGGAAGTGTTTTAAGTCGAATCCCTAAATCTATGTAGTTTTTTTTACTGTGTGGCAATTTAGTCGCTTTCATTGTCGATTTGTGTGGAAATCAATTAATTGACGTCAGCAGAAGTGTGAGTGGGGGTGGCTCCTGGGAGTTAATAGGTAGTCGGCCATGGGTCTAAAGGCGCATCGTGTGTCGAAGCAAAACAACAGTGCATACTTTTCGACAAGCAGATTGTCGAATCGCCTTGCATAACCCCACACATGCGAAGAGTACTTTTGTTTTCTTTCATCCCCTTCCTCTTACTACCTAGTGGAGCTTCCGGTAAAAGCTTCCCACTCTCTCCCTCATCCCCCTTGAACATACATATGTACATATATACATATATATGGCCATTTTTGCTTGTGTACAACTTTATCAACATTATGGATGACTGACTTACTTCTGTTTCCAACTCGGGCAAGGTTAACCCCAAAAATTATTTGTTGCCTTACTTTCCAGCCATTTGTACTTGTTTCTCGTCGTGTTCTTGCGAGAACTACAGACGAGCAAGTATATTAAGTTCCGTAGTTACAGGGACTCTTTTGTTGGATCATAATCATGTCCAAAATATTGTTATTGCTACACATGTCTATGGATGGATATAAGGTTTATAAGTTTATTTAAATTTACAAAAGTCGCCAATACAAGTTTTAATAAATAATTCCCAAATTGTATTCCTCTTTAAAAATAAACTTACTTCCAGACTTGTTACATAGATTCGCCACATCACTAGTGTTTTCTGTGGCACCCCTGTATATTAAGGAAAGGAATCGCCTTCTTCTGTCTTTTCTTATTTAATCATACCATTTTATTCCGTTTTTTCTGATGCCTGTCGAACAGTCGAAGAAGAGGAAACAGAGGAAGCGGAAACAGGCATCACAGGCATAAGTATTTAAGCAGTGCATGCTACTTTTTGGGTACTGCATTTGTACACGAGTGACCTTCGCGTGTCGGGGCAACGTTTGTACAATTTCTGAGTATTTTCTGCACGCTCAGGCAGGCACAAAAGCAATAACGTTGAAAAATTTGGGATTGTGGGTGTTGTTGCTATTGACAAGCGAATCATGTGTTATGTTTTCACCTTGGCTGATGACCTCTAACCCAAATATTTGATTTATTAACCGTTGATTGGCGGTCTGATGAGGGAAACGAACTGCATGAAAATGACCAGAGCCTCAAGCATGAAGAAGAATACCTTTTTGAAATTAAAATGGTTTTAAATTAGTCTCGAAACATTTTTTAAAAGTTACCCCTGCCAAGGTCTGGAGATTCAGGTGGTAGATACCACAGATTTCGAACTGTATGGGATCCTGCATGATCTGCAGAGAAAACTCCTCGATCTGGACTCTCTCATTATGCGTGTGTACTGGTCGATCCTTGAGCTGAATTTGCAGAAGTTTCGACTGCAAAGTGAGTGTTTCATAAAGATGGTTTTGCATCCTTCTTTGCCAGAAACTCACCTTTCCAACACATCGGTGGCAGGCAGCACACAAAGTTGATAGCTTGTAGATAGTGGGGAGGACCACGTAACTGGCCATGGCTACGAGCAGCCAGTTTTCGGGCATGTACTCCAGATAGTCGCCCATAAAGTAGACGTTGCACACTATAAGACAGTCACCGGTGCACAGGACATTTAGGAGGAGCAGGGAGAAGCCGTAGAGGTGGGTGACTCTTCGCGACAGCCTGGCCAGGCGGGCGTAGTCGGCTTTTAGGGTTTGATAGTCCACCAGATCACTTTCCTGAGCTTTGCGCAGCAGAAGTTCCATCTGATAGTCAAGGCGCTCCACCAGGAGCTGGATTTGCAGGTAGCGACCTCGAACCGCTTGGGTGCTGTAGGCGTAGCGGAGGTTCTCTAGGTACATTCCGCCCCATACCGCCGACCAGTACCCCACAAGGAGAATGTAGCAGATCAGCAGCATTTCCAGGACGAACTGTCTGTAGAGAAAGCTTCTGGTCCGCATTGCAGGCAACTCCTCTAGGAGGCGATAACTCCGCCGGCTTTCGACAATTGCTCCCAAAGCGATGCCCAAGTGGAGGACCCTGTATGCTACACTAACGCTCTGAATGCTCTGAACAAAGTATAAGGTGAATACCTTGCCATAAGTCTCTGTACCACGAAAGAATCTCCTTATTTGGTTGGACAGCTCGGTTATAACCATCAGGAGGAAGCAAATGCCAAAAAGTCGTCCCAGGCGGTTGCCGTTCCAGCCACAGGCCAGGCCCAGGAGCTGAAAGTAGCCCGAAAGACAGTGTTCCAGCCACCAGGACATTGGGTCAAAGACTAAAACTTTTTGGGCTTCCACAAAAGGGCTAAAGTCAGGGTTTATCTGGCAATTAATCAAAGTGTTCATCGGGTATACTGTCTATTACTAGTTGGGGTTGGGTTTCCAGGGTTACCATCAAGGTCTGTAAGTAATCAATTGGAGAATCCATTGAATTTTCAACTAAAAGTAATCATTTGATCTTAATTTCTTGCAGTGCTCACGGTGCTCAGTTCGACGATCAAGTACAACGAATATGCCACTGACAAAGGCGGCAATGTGAGCATACCCTGCATTGCCCAGACCAACATAATGTGGGTGAAAGAGCACGGCAACAACAGCACTATAGTTCAGGTGCGTACAATGTACAAGCATTGGTACTTACCTCATCACCTAATCTATTTCATTCCCCTTACCATAAAAAATACAGACTGGTCGTGTTTTGGTGTTGCGCAATGTCAGTATCGCGGACTCTGGCATTTACGTGTGCTTCGCCTCGTTGCCACGCCTATCAACAACGCCTGTTACTAGAGCATCTGTAAAACCTGCCACATCAGCAACTACCTCATCAGCAGCAAAGAAAGAGGATGGGCAGGGTGACAGGGATGGCGGCAAGGAGTCACCTAAGGATTTGGAGCAAGAGGAGATGGAATACCAGGCTTTCCAGCGTACTAGACTCACCGTTCGTACGGTTCCCGGCCCGGTAACCCAGCTTTACTTCAAGGCCTCCACCATCCTTGGCTTTCTCATCTGGCGGTTCAACAAGACCCAGTCCGGGGGCTACCCGGTGCGCAGCTTCACGGCTGAGTTCCGAAACGTCTCCTACAGCTCTCCGCCAGCAAACAGCACTTTCGAGCATGCCTGGAGCCGAATGGATCCTATCAACATAGCCCCCAATGTGGTGAGTTTTTCGGCTTAGGATATATGGATATTTAAGGATATGTGTGGTTCGTTTCCCATTTACATTTAATTTATATTAATTAATCTTATTTAATTCTTTTAATCTTAATACAGCGTCAAATGGAAGTATATCGACTGGCACCTAACACCACCTATGAGTTTCGGATATGGGCCAATAACGAGCTGGGTAGCGGAGAGGTGGTCACCACGAACGTCACCACTCTGCCAGAGACCAAAGAGGAGGGTAAGTACTCCCGGTCCGAGGTTCAAATCTGATTTCCCTGAATTCTAGGCTAAGCTAGGTCAATCCGCGCTATATTATATGTCGTTGACTATATTTGTACCTATTACTGATTATTTTTGAAACATATTTTCGATGTGTAAACCGTAAAACGTAAAAGTAAATCGTTTCTTAGCTGGTCATTCCTAATATCCGATTGGTGTGGACATCCTGCGAGGGGGATTGCAAATAATTCCGCCAATACAAAGAGTCGCTCTGAAATTTTGCAATTCCTGTCGCGGAATCAACTCTAGTTTTTTTTTTTGATTGGTAGCGAAACCCAAAAATATAGATCATTGTTTAGTACATCCAATTTCAATATATTTTTATGGTAATTTTCGTTTTGCATCTATCTCTTTCTCCCCTTTCTCTCTGTGTGGATCTTTCCGACCTCTGTCTCTCTTTTTTTATCTCTGACCCAGATCTCATACGCCTTATAAAACCCGACTTAGACAATTTCGATCCACGCATTTGGATAGTGGCTGTCAGCATTGTGCTCGGAACCCTTGTGATATTAGCGATTGGACTCTGCATTGTGCTATCCAAGGAGTGCTATCAGTCAACGCAAATGGGTACAGACTAAGTCGATCAACTTTAGACCAACTCCAAAAACTCCAGACTCAGCTCCAAAATCCAGTTTTAAATAATCGAATTACCTATTGACTATCATCACCTTTAGTGGCGGAATATGTTTTTTTTTATTTTCCATATTTTGATTCATTTCATTTCTATTTAAAATAATTTACCACATTTAAATGCAATGTTATGTATTATTGCTATGGCTATTGATGTTGTTTCTGTGTCGTTGTTGTTACTATATTATTGTTGCTGTTGACGCTTATAAATTTTAATGTATGAAAGTTTATTTTGCTTTAAGATTTGTTACATATAGTTGCGTCGCTGGTTGTTTTTTGTGACTCCTTGACCAATTGATATAAAAATGTTTCTGTATATACAAATATTGTGAGGATCTGTAAATAAAATTACAGATAAAAAAAGGCTTTCGAACAGGTCATAAAACCGCATTTACCGGTTCCTATAATCATTGAAATATATAATAAAAAAGTTTTATTACAGCCTCAGAGCGAAAAGTTTTTTTCAGTAAAAGAAAGTTACTTTTTGAAATAAGTTTTGTAGGTTTCGATTAGAAAACGCTTGTAAATGAAAAAAAAACTGGCAAAACCATTTAAAAACTAATTAGAAGCTCTTAAATTATCAAACCCTAATTTTGTTTTTCATGTATGAGTAAAAGCCTTTATAAAGTAGCGTCCTAGACCAAAGAATAATAAGCTTTAAGCACTTAAACTGTGATAGCCAGCACTCGTAGCCGATAATCAGTTACTGATTTAAACGAAATCAAACTAAATAGAAAACAAATAGACGCCTCTAAATAAATTTTAAGCTCCAGCGAACCAAACTTTTGCTTATAGAAATCGTTATATAAATATATGTATAATAATATTGTAAAATGCCTAGAGACCAACGAAATGCTTTATTAATGTTGTAACCATATATGTAATTACCTCTTAAATATAATATTGTGTTTTTTGCATTTAAAACTTAATACAAACCCCAAAAAGAGCACGAATATTAAACGTTCAAACGAGAAATACAACCATGTTTCGTTGAGTATTTGATTAAGTTCTTTTTGGAGATACTCCAGCTTGGATTGTAATAGAAGATGCACTCTTCAAAAAACACTGTATACTTTATACTTTATAAACTACATCATAGACATAAATCGCATACTTCTTTAGCGAAAGAAAATTGTTGCTTGCATTACGCATACGTCCTGTGGGCCCAGTGCGCCGTTTTTAGGCTGAAGTGTCGCTTTTTACAAGTGCCACTTGGCTGAAGCGCCACAGTCGCTTGTAAATATTTTCGTTAAGCTGTTGCACACACAAATACACGCACACTCCCACCCACAAACACAAAGATATCCCCTCCAAATATAAAAGGTAAAGTACTGAACAATTAATAAAAAATTGTCTAATAAATGTATTTTTTCTCTCTCTCTCTTTCTGTCCGTCTCTTTCTTTTTTTTTTATCTACTTCTATGATTTACTATACCTTTATGTTAATTTTAATATTTCAACTGGAACAATCTTGAAGAACTGCAAGATGGTTGGGACAGCATTGAGCTTATACCGAATATAATACTTAATCCCGGTTTCAGTGAATCTGATGGGGCAGGAGAGCCAGGTGCCGAAAGGGAGGATGCAGAGGGGGAGGATGAGGGAGAGGAGGAAGAGGAGGTCATAGACCAGGCTCCACCCTTGGTTTTCCCCCGCACTATTCTTTTCTCTCCGCCCCAGGGCCACCAACTGCAAAACGCCCACGCTACCGCTGCCCATTTGCACCACTCCCATTATCCGCATTACCCAAACCGCCGGCAGAACTACAACCCGCATCACCGAAGACGCGACGAGGAGGAGGAGGAGTACGAGGAGGAGCAGGAGCCCACCATAGAGCGGTTCAAGCGAAAGGTGTCGGTCTTCTTCACCGGTCCCACCATCAAACGTATTTGAAAGTACAAACACTTGAGCCCCAGGTTGTTGATTGCTGTTTGATCGACCGATAGTCTACAAAATAAATAAATAGTTTATAAAAAAAGAAAGAGCTTATCGGCCAAATATTATTTTTATTAGGTTTTTGCTTGAAAGCTAGAAAGTATAAAAGAACATCAAAGCTAACCATGTCCCCTTTGGTTTTTGCTCATTTTTGCTTATTCAGATCACAAGTTATATAATATAAAAAGATATATATATACTCTATGTTATAAAGCATACACTAGTATTATACACTGAAAACAAATATATTGCTGTGATACAAATTCAATTAAAACGACATTATAAGAACTCAAAACCTTAGACACACAATTTAAATTATGAACCATCATGAATTTTGCTGAAGCTCTTAAAAGAAAAAAAGACCCAATTGCATATTGCCTGGTTAAAAAATTTATCTGAGTTTTAAAGATCCGATCAGATCAGAAATATACAAATTATATATGTATATACGTATATTATATTGCAGACGTGAAAGTTGGCTTAGAGATTCAACTTAAAAAAATAAAGAAATGGGATCTACCTTGGTTCTTTATTATTTATATTTTAAAATCTCTGATCCCAAAAATACTAAACAGATACTTTGTGGCATTTGGGAAAAATTAAATGGTAAGCTGTCTGATTTTTTTCAAAAAATATTAAATCAAAATTAGTATAAAAGAATATGCTGCAAAGGATCTCTTATAGTCAGGACATCGACTATAGCGTTCCAATTTATTTCGGTTTTAGGTTCGAAACGATTTAACAAACTGTGAAACAATTTTATAATTGAGCAAATATTTTGCACTGTAGAGCGCACCAAACGATCTATTTATGGATATATAAATATATTGATAAAGAAAAGTTTGATACAAATTTTAAATAAAAATGAAAAATTGGCTTTGCCTCGTGCTTTAGTTCGGCCTCACAGCTAATAAAATAAAACCAAAGAGTATGAAATTGTAAATGAAAAAATATATATAGTGATAGTTAATGTAGCTGAATAACCAAATATTTTAAATGATAAAAAAAACTGCTTCCACACACAAACATCAATAAAAAAATAGAACCCATAACCACAAACAATGAAATTGTTATAAAAGATAAATCAAAACTAATTTTAAACAAGCGATTATTGTGTATATGTATATATACAGACTCAAAACCAATATGAAAGGACATATAGAGGAGTGTTGTACATAGAAATATTAGGTATCTTAAGAAAGACTGTAGTTACCTATTAAGACACTTTGGCCTACGCTATTACCAGTTCCTTGGTTCGATATGATAGGCACTTCAAAATGTATTTATTTTTTGCATCGACCTGCTAAAGCTATCCAAAAACACGTATACAGAAATACATACTATATATTTTAATGTAATTCGGAATGGGTACTTAACATAAATGCAAAGTAAACCAAAAAAGTTGAATATCATCTGACTCAATTGCTTATTAAATCTTTCCTACGCCCTGATCGTAAACTCTTCGCTGAATTCCGAGTCCTAACAGCTTCGGTTTGGGGCATATTAGTACTGCGCTAGCTCCCCAAAATATATTCGTATCCGATCCGACTCTAAACGAGGCAGATAGGCTTTTTAACACCAATGAAAATCAAACAAGAACTTTGAAAAAAACGAAATAAAAATAAATCTAAGTTTACAATCGAAATTACAAGTATTTTTTACAAGGGAGGCTCCACTTATTAGTTTTCTTACAAATATTATACACCATTCTATTGTGATCCTTGGAATTGATTTTGAGGATCTTTGAATGGATTTAAATAACAATAATTACTTAAATAAAATAAAAGAAACTGTGACAAATATTCTTTAAAAATGCATTGGTTTTTTATTGTTTGACAAAAAAAAACGAAGCGTATTGTATTAAAAATAGTGGATGGGAAGTTGATATGGGTGGTGGGGATGGGCTGTATTGATCGGTCGCGTGAGGGGTGTGCGAAGGGCGATCTGGGTTGTCATCTTGACCATCCAGGACATCTGACTCCAGAGTTATAAAGCTCTGGTGCCGTTCTACTGGCGGTGGGATGCCTGGGAGGAGGACTGGCGCCACGGCTGGTGGACTGCGTGATAGCCGGACTGGGTCTGGGCCGGGGTACTGCGGCCGAAGGGACTCTTCGAGTTCACTTGGAGCATGTAGTCGCCCTCGAGGTCGAAGTCGGTGGCGATGCCCATGTAGGCGCGCTTGCCATACCCCTTGTTTTGCTTGTACTCTTTGTAGGAGCTGGCGGCCACCGAGGGGAAGTTTCGTTCGTTTCCGGGGCGGACGGACTCAGCGAAGTAGCGGGTTGCACGCATAGCGGCCTCCACGACGTTTTCCGCTCCGGGCACACCGGTGGCAGGTCCATTGGGGTAGAAGTCAACATTGGCCAAGCGCTCGGAGGTGCCCATGCCGTAGGCCGAAGTGTGGATGGCATCGACAAAGTCGGCGTCGCCGCGGGCCAGGCCGGTCAGCTTCTCTTCAGGCTTGCCGTAGATCTTGGAGGGGTCCAGGGCGGTGATGCGGCGCAGTTTGTGTCCGGTCTGGCGGGTGAACTGGCGGCCAGCGACTCCGGCGACGTGGGCGGCGGGGCCGGATCCGATCAGATGGATGATTTCCTGAGGCACGTTGACGGTATTGGTCAGTTCCACGAGACGGTTTCCAATGATTTCGCCAATCCTCTCGATGTCTAAGGTTGCGTACTGCTCGAAGTTCTCGATGGCATCGCCCAACTGAATCACGATCAGGTCTCCGGTCTTGGTGTCATCCTGGTCATCGTTTTGCTTCCTGCGCTGCTGCTGCTCTTCGGAAGAGGAGGAGTCGGAGTCGGTACCAGGGTAGGGCTGGAGGTTGTAGCGTTGCTGGTAGGCCTGTACCAGTTTGCGGGTGGCTTTCTGCACCTGGGAGGATTGCTGAGGCAGACCCTGGATAAAGATGGTCACCTCATCGTCGCCGAAGTTCTGCTGGCGTTTCACAGTCTGGACGAAGTTGTTCAGGTTGAACTGGATCTTCTGGCCATTCTCGCCGACAATGTAACCGCGTACTTGGCTGGGTTCTGGCTTGTACTCTGGCTTAAAGACTCCATTGAACTGGGAAAGGTGGTCTAGGCATGGGATTTAAATTACTGATAAGCTGCCAGATTTTCAATGAATAATAAATGTAAACTTACAGAGTTTGTCCAGTAGAGAGGCTCCCTCCTCAAGGCTCATCTCCTGGAGCTTGTTCAGGGTGACCTGCTTCAGGGAAGGCAGCTCCTCAATTTCCCGGGGGCTTACCCAGTTGCTGGGCTGGTCCACTCCGTTCAAGGAGTTAGAGCGGCTCTGGGGATTGGCCATGACAGAGGCCGCCAGGAGACAGGCCATTAGGCATACGGTGCGCAGAGGATTCATTTTGGGTTCCGTTCCGGGTTCCGGCTAGGTAAGACTGTTTCAGACACCGTACTAAACTGTACTGCATGCCCCTGACTGCAAATCGGCGCTTTTTATAGGTCCCGAAAAATATATAACTTTTCATGGAAAACCAAGAGTCAGCGATATTGCACACGCGCCGGAAGAAATTGATTGCGATCGAATCGATTTAGCAACCGCACCTGACTTCTACCCAGATCAGCAGAAATTATAGACATTCTCTGATTAGGCAACAGCTTGATGAGTTTTGCAATTCTCACTTTTCTATTTTCTGTTGACAATCTGATATTGAAAATTTCTTCGTTTCCTATTCATTTCACGCTTATGTAATTTCGTTACCGAGATTTTGGTTAAGGAAACTTCTCTTTTAAAAAAAATTTTAAAGATGAATATTTTTGCCAGTCTATGGCTTGTGCGCTACTTTGATCGCTTTTTAAAATATATCAGTTCCTAAATGCCTTGCTCATAAATATCTTCCATTTGATACTTAAATAATTTAATGCTTACATCAATTCTTATAAAAGTATATAAAAGATCATAGATAAATATAGAAAAAAACGTTATGTTCCTTATCAAATGTGGCCTGATAATAACCCAAGTGTAGAACGGGAAAATATCGGTATAAATTATAATTTCAAAAAGCAAAAATTATTTTTGCTTGCTGTTGCTATTTGCTGATTCCTTTTGGTAAATTTATTTGGGAAAATATATGAAAGTCTATGAAAAAATACTGAAATTAATATGTATAATATTATCTGAAATTAATATGTATGTATACTTTTCGTTTCATTTCATACATGTATTATAAGACCCCAATAAAATCTTGTAATCTCCCTTCGAAACTAAAAATTTTCCATAAAATATCTTATCAAGTGCAAATCTGGAATCAATGAACTGATTTGTCCTTGAATTAAAGATGAAAACTAAATTGATGCAAAACTACTGGGGAACTTGGGAAACAAATAAAATCGAAAGGATTATTTTGTAAATTGGTAAAGTTTAAAAGGAGCTTAAATAAGTTTTGTATAGAATCAAAGCAAGATCCCCAAGCTAACCTAAGACTTAGAAGATGTAACAAACAGCGGAAACTACAAAGTAAATACAATTTAATAATATTAATTAAACGATTAGCAACGGCAATTGTCGAGTCATCAATCGCATCAGCCAAAGGTAAAGAGTCTTATCGGTTGTGTAGGAAATTTAATATATTTGAAGGCAACTCATCCGATTCCCAGGCGGGAAACCTTACGTTGCAATGGAATTTATTGCTGGCACCAGCAAAAAATAGAATAGATTTTTCTATAGTCACATATGGGGCTACTTTGGGTATATAAGCCCCTGTCTTTGAGTTCCAAAATCAGTTCAACTCGCTCTGTGTTGAAGTCGCAATCCCGGAACCGAACCCGAATCCGAACACGAACCATGAACCCCATGAAAGTGCTCAGCCTTCTGGCTGTCCTGGCGGTGGCCGCCATGGGCAAGCCCAACAACCGCATGGACAACTCCGTTAGCCAGGCCCTGAAGCCGTCCCAGTGGCTCTCCGGCTCCCAGCTGGAGGCCATTCCGGCAGTGGATGACCTTACCCTCGAGCGTCTGGAGAACATGAGCCTGGAGAAAGGAGCAGAGTTGGTTCAGCAGATTTGTGAGTAAATATTCGGATGTCTTTATTGGCTTTGAAGCTCTCAAAATTTTTGAGACTTTGCAGATGAAGAAGATCTAACAGATTTTTGTAACGACCCTTTAAGTTCGATTTTTGAAACCAAAATTTTTAGAAGTGTGTCCACTAAAAAGCTTTAAGTGAATCTTAAATTATTTTGATATTTACTTTAGAAAATAAATTATAACAGCCTCTAACTTTTGACAGACCATCTGTCTCAGATCCACCACAATGTGGAGCCCAACTTCGTGCCTAGCAACATTCAGGCTTACGTGCCCAAGCCTAATGGCGAGAAATTGGCGGCTCCCCTGAACGAGATGATCCAGCGCCTGAAACAGAAGCAGAACTTCGGCGACGATGAGGTGACCATCATTCTGACCGGCCTGCCCCAGACCACCGAAACCGTTAAGAAGGCCACCCGGAAGCTGGTCCAGGCCTACATGCAGCGATACAACCTGCAGCAGCAGCGCCAGAAGGGCAAGAACACCAACCAGGACTACGACTATGGAAGCGAGAAGCGCAACCAGCGCACCAGTAGCGAGGAGAACTCCAGCGAGGAGGTTAAGAACGCCAAGACCCAGAGCGGAGACATCATTGTAAGTTTTTTGAATGTTCAACGTTGAGTTGCTAAAGAAAATAACTTAAATCCTTGATTTCCCCTTCGTTAGGTGATCGATCTAGGCTCCACCCTGACCAACTACAAGCGCTACGCCATGCTAGACATTGAGAAGACTGGAGCCAAGATCGGCAAGTGGATCGTCCAAATGGTCAACGAGCTTGACATGCCTTTCGATACCATCCATCTGATTGGTCAGAACGTGGGCGCCCATGTCGCCGGAGCCGCCGCCCAGGAGTTCACCCGCCTCACCGGACACCAGCTGCGTCGCGTCACCGGTCTGGATCCCTCCAAGATTGTAGCCAAAAGCAAGAACACTCTGACCGGACTGGCCCGCGGCGATGCAGAATTCGTTGATGCAATCCACACATCCGTTTATGGCATGGGCACCCCTATTCGCTCAGGAGACGTCGACTTCTACCCCAACGGACCCGCCGCCGGAGTGCCCGGAGCCAGCAACGTAGTGGAAGCTGCCATGCGCGCCACCCGCTACTTCGCAGAGTCCGTCCGCCCTGGAAACGAGCGCAGCTTCCCCGCCGTCCCAGCCAACTCCCTGGAGCAGTACAAGCGCAATGATGGTTTCGGCAAGCGCGCTTACATGGGCATCGACACCGCCCACGACCTCGAAGGCGACTACATCCTCCAGGTCAACGCTCAGAGCCCCTTCGGCCGCAACGCTCCCGCCCAAAAACAGAGCAGCTACCATGGCGTTCATCAGACGTGGAGCAGCAAGGACAACAAGGACTACGAATAAGGACCACGCTCGCATTACCCCCTCCCCTCCCGCAAACCACAACCGCGACCCAGCTCGGGACCGTGGACTGGAAAGCCTGTTAGTTTAAGTCGATTTGAATTGGCATTTTCTTGAGTAACTTTTTGCAAGCAGAGCTCAAAATTCAACATGCAATAAACGCAAAAGACTCTTTTTGAAAAAGAGCTTGAACGTAAACAAATTAAAAGTTGTTTAAACTAAAAGGGGGATAATAATCGCCAAATCGAATGAAATGGCTTCAAATGCATTCACTTTAAATTTTAACAAAATCACAAAACTTACCCGCTGTACATCCGTGGCGTTTATTTCATATTTTGCTCCCTTTTCTCTTTTTCGGTTTTGTATGCGTCTTGTTTTGCAAAAAGTTCCGTTATTAACCAGCTGTGCAATAAAATTTTATTTCGGCGCTCAATCACTTAAAAACAACTCTAAACATTTTATCTTAAAACATTAACTGAAATTAATTGCGTAGACTTCCAATATTTCCATATATGTAACTTTTATTTAATAAAAATACACTTATTGATAAACGAAACCCGACACTGCACTGACTCCTACAAGGACCTTGTCGAGGTTGCGCCTTGTCCGATCTAACTGCATCGTACGCAACATGTCGTGTTGGGACCAAATGATCATTGCAACGCAACCATGTTCGAGAATTCGATTAGCACGCAACATGTCGTTTCGCAACCATGTTCGAGAATTCGATTAAGTTCGACTTAAAAAATGCTCTTTAACTATATCTTCCCCAATTCTCAATCGGGGTACCTTAAACGATTTCTAGATCGATTCCCCAACATTCTGCATCTAATCCTAAAAGAAATCATTTTTTTGTCCGTTTTTCGTGAGGGAATCCCTTGAAAAAGGCCTTTTCCCATATATGGCCCACAGTGATGGCTATATCCAATTCTTCTTCTTCTCCAATTCTTAACCGATTCTCATGCGGAGTACCTTAAACGATTTCTAGATCGATTTGCCACCATTCTGCATCAAAATCTTGAGACAAAATATTTTTAGATTTTTGTTTCCATTTTTCGTGAGGGGATCCCTTGAAAATGGGGTTTTCCCCTATAGGGTCCACAGTGATGGCTATTTCTTCCTCAATTCTCATCCGATTCTCAAGCGGAGTACCTTAAACGATTTCTAGATCGATTTGCCACCATTCTGCATCAAAATCCAGAGACAAAATATTTTATAAATTTTTTATCCATTTTTCCTGATGGGGTCCCTTGAAAATGGGGTTTTCCCCTGTAGGGTTCACAGCGATGGCTATATCTTCCCCAATTCATATCCGATTCTCATGCGCAGTACCTTAAACGATTTCTAGATCGATTTGCCACCATTCTGCATCAAAATCTTGAGACAAAATATTTTTTAGATTTTTTGTCAATTTTTTGTGAGGGGATCCCTTGAAATTGGGTTTTTTCCCTATAGGGTCCACTGCGATGGCCATATCTTCCCCAATTCTCATCCGATTCTCAAGCGGAGTACCTTAAACGATTTCTAGATCGATTTGCCACCATTCTGCATCAAAATCTTAAGACAAAAGATTTTTTAGATTTTTTGTCCATTTTTCGTGAGGGGATACCTTGAAAATGGGGTCTTCCCCTATAGGGTCCACAATGATGGCTATATCTTTCCCAATTCTTATCCGATTCTCAAGCGGAGTACCTTAAACGATTTCTAGATCGATTTGCCACCATTCTGCATCAAAATCTAGGGACAAAATATTTTTAAGATTTTTTTCCATTTTTCCTGATGGGGTCCCTTGAAAATGGGGTTTTCCCCTATGGGTTCCACAGTGATGGCTATATCTTCCCCAATTCTCATCCGATTCTCAAGCGGAGTACCTTAAACGATTTCTAGATCGATTTGCCACCATTCTGTCTCAAAATCCTGAGCCAAAATATTTTTTAGATTTTTTTTCCATTTTTCTTTGAAAATGGAGTTTTCCCCAATAGGGTCCACAGGGATGGCCATGTCTTTCCCAATTCTCATCCGATTCTCAAGCGGAGTACCTTAAACGATTTCTAGATCGATTTGCCACCATTCTGCATCAAAATCTTAAGACAAAATATTTTTAAGATTTTTTTCCATTTTTCCTGATGGGGTCCCTTGAAAATGGGGTTTTTCCCTGTAGGGTTCACAGCGATGGCTATATCTTCCCCAATTCATATCCGATTCTCAAGCGGAGTACCTTAAACGATTTCTAGATCGATTTGCCACCATTCTGCATCAAAATCTTGAGACAAAATATTTTTTAGATTTTTCGTCCATTTTTTGTGAAGGGATCCCTCGAAAATGGGGTTTTCCCCTATAGGGTCCACAGTGATGGCTATATCTTCCCCAATTCTCATCCGATTTTCAAGCGGAGTACCTTAAACGATTTCTAGATCGATTTGCCACCATTCTGCATCAAAATCTTGAGACAAAATATTTTTTAAATTTTTTGTCCATTTTTCGTGAGGGGATCCCTTGAAAATGGGGTTTTCCCCTATAGGTCCACAGTGATGGCTATATCTTCCCCAATTCGCATCCGATTCTTAAACGGAGTACCTTAAACGATTCCTGGATTGATTCGCCACCATTCTGCATCAAAATCCTGAGACAAAATACTTTTTAGATTTTGTGTCCATTTTTTGTGAGGGGATCCCTTGAAAATGGGGTTGTCCTCTATAGGGCCCACTGCGATAGCTATATCTTCCTCAATTCTCATCCGATTCTCAAGCGGAGTACCTTAAACGATTTCTAGATCGATTTGCCACCATTCTGCATCAAAATCTTAAGACAAAATATTTTTAAGATTTTTTTCCATTTTTCCTGATGGGGTCCCTTGAAAATGGGGTTTTCCCCTATAGGGTCCACAGTGATGGCTATTTCTTCCTCAATTCTCATCCGATTCTCAAGCGGAGTACCTTAAACGATTTCTAGATCGATTTGCCACCATTCTGCATCAAAATCTTAAGACAAAATATTTTTTAAATTTTTTGTCCATTTTTCGTGAGGGGATCCCTTGAAAATGGGGTTTTCCCCTATAGGTCCACAGTGATGGCTATATCTTCCCCAATTCGCATCCGATTCTTAAACGGAGTACCTTAAACGATTCCTGGATTGATTCGCCACCATTCTGCATCAAAATCCTGAGACAAAATACTTTTTAGATTTTGTGTCCATTTTTTGTGAGGGGATCCCTTGAAAATGGGGTTTTCCCCTATGGGTTCCACAGTGATGGCTATATCTTCCTCAATTCTCATCCGATTCTCAAGCGGAGTACCTTAAACGATTTCTAGATCGATTTGCCACCATTCTGCATCAAAATCTTAAGACAAAATATTTTTAAGATTTTTTTCCATTTTTCCTGATGGGGTCCCTTGAAAATGGGGTTTTCCCCTATGGGTTCCACAGTGATGGCTATATCTTCCTCAATTCTCATCCGATTCTCAAGCGGAGTACCTTAAACGATTTCTAGATCGATTTGCCACCATTCTGCATCAAAATCTTAAGACAAAATATTTTTAAGATTTTTTTCCATTTTTCCTGATGGGGTCCCTTGAAAATGGGGTTTTCCCCTATGGGTTCCACAGTGATGGCTATATCTTCCCCAATTCTCATCCGATTCTCAAGCGGAGTAGCTTAAACGATTTCTACATCGATTTGCCACCATTCTGCATCAAAATCTTGGGACAAAATATTTTTTAGATTTTTCGTCCATTTTTCGTGAAGGGATCCCTCGAAAATGGGGTTTTCCCCTATAGGTCCACAGTGATGGCTATATCTTCCCCAATTCTCATTCGATTCTCAAGCGGAGTACCTTAAACGATTTCTAGATCGATTTGCCACCATTCTGCATCAAAATCTTGGGACAAAATATTTTTTTAGATTTTTCGTCCATTTTTCGTGAAGGGATCCCTCGAAAATGGGGTTTTCCCCTATAGGTCCACAGTGATGGCTATATCTTCCCCAATTCTCATCCGATTCTCAAGCGGAGTACCTTAAACGATTTCTAGATCGATTTGCCACCATTCTGCATCAAAATCTTAAGACAAAAAATTTTTTTGATTTTTTGTCCATTTTTCGTGAGGGGATACCTTGAAAATGGGGTCTTCCCCTATAGGGTCCACAATGATGGCTATATCTTTCCCAATTCTTATCCGATTCTCAAGCGGAGTACTTTAAACGATTTCTAGATCGATTTGCCACCATTCTGCATCAAAATCTAGAGACAAAATATTTTTAAGATTTTTTCCCATTTTTCCTGATGGGGTCCCTTGAAAATGGGGTTTTACCCTATGGGTTCCACAGTGATGGCTTTATCTTCCCCAATTCTCATCCGATTCTCAAGCGGAGTACCTTAAACGATCTCTACATCGATTTGCCACCATTCTGCATCAAAATCTTGAGACAAAATATTTTTTGAATTTTTTGTCCATTTTTCGTGAGAAAATGGGGTTTTCCCCTATAGGTCCACAGTGATGGCTATATCTTCCTAAATTCTCATCCGATTCTCAAGCGGAGTACCTTAAACGATTTCTAGATCGATTTGCCACCATTCTGCATCAAAATCTTGGGACAAAATATTATTTAGATTTTTCGTCCATTTTTCGTGAAGGGATCCCTCGAAAATTTGGTTTTCCCCTATAGGTCCACAGTGATGGCTATATCTTCCCCAATTCTCATCCGATTCTCAAGCGGAGTACCTTAAACGATTTCTAGATCGATTTGCCACCATTCTGCATCAAAATCCTGAGACAACATATTTTTTAGATTTTTTTTCCATTTTTCCTGATGGGGTCCCTGATGGGAAAATGGGGTTTTTCCCTATAGGGTCCACAGGGATAGCACAGCACAGAACTTTTTGCAAAACAAGACGCATACAAAACCGAAAAAAAGAAAAGGGAGCAAAATATGAAATAATCGCCACGGATGTACAGCGGGTAAGTTTTGTGATTGTGTTAAAATTTAAAGTGAATGCATTTGAAGCCATTTCATTTGATTTGGCGATTATTATCCCCCTTTTAGTTTAAACAACTTTTAATTTGTTTACGTTCAAGCTCTTTTTCAAAAAGAGTCTTTTGCGTTTATTGCATGTTGAATTTTGAGCTCTGCTTGCAAAAAGTTACTCAAGAAAATGCCAATTCAAATCGACTTAAACTAACAGGCTTTCCAGTCCACGGTCCCGAGCTGGGTCGCGGTTGTGGTTTGCGGGAGGGGAGGGGGTAATGCGAGCGTGGTCCTTATTCGTAGTCCTTGTTGTCCTTGCTGCTCCACGTCTGATGAACGCCATGGTAGCTGCTCTGTTTTTGGTCGGGAGCGTTGCGGCCGAAGGGGCTCTGAGCGTTGACCTGGAGGATGTAGTCGCCTTCGGATCGGTGGGCGGTGTCGATTGATTCCGATCGTTATTAATCGCAAGCTTTAAAATAAACTGGCGGCACATTTCACTGTTGATTTAAAAATTGGGCGCCATGCACCCCAAATCTAAAAAGCCACAACCCTTCAATCACAATTTTGAAAGACAATTCAATAATAACCCTTACTACGTTGCCTAAAATCCGATCTTGGCAAAAAGCAAAAAGTGAAACCTTGGATTATATGATATGTTTATTAAATAATGGAAGCATATTCATTACGAATGCACATACATATAGGTATATTCTATATTTATATTTCTGTATATATTGCTTACTCGCTGAGTTGGCAGGCGCAAAAAAAACTGAATCGGGTTGAACTCGATTTGATGGATTGGTTTAAATTTTAAAGGAAATAATATCACTAAGCTTAAATAAAATTCATTAACTCCGTATCCTCCATTTTCTTGTCTTCGGGGAACTAATCACAAATTGGAAATTAAACATTTACAACATGAGATGAAGAAATAGGTGCAAAAGGTGGAGGAGAGGTGAGGTGGAATGTGGGTCAAGGCCGGATATATGGAGAGGAATGGTGTGTTATCAGTCTAGTCCTTGCAGACCTGATCTGCGGGCGACCAGGTGCACATGCCTCCCTCCCCATCGTAGGTTAAGCCCTTGGGGCAGGTGTACTCCCAGCCCACGATCCCCCCGGTCTCCTCGAATCTCGCGCAGGAGATAAACTTGCGGCAGTTAAGCGGATGCGGAAAATTTCCTTGCGCCCGACACTCGATGATCCCACGCCCATGGACAATGACCTTAGGTTCTCCAGGCTTCTTTGTGCTGATCTTTCGGGTCTTACTCGTCTTTGTGGTTGCTACGTTGTCACTGCGACGCCGTTGCGCTACCTGGACGCTTTCCGCTCCCATCCCCGACAACTTATCCTCCAGCTCTCCCTTGAGAAGGAACGTGGCAGTCACCACGGCCTCTGGATTGCTGGGCGGGCGACTGTACACCTCGATATACTTATGCGGGCGACGGCGGCTCTGCTGGCGGCGGGAGAGTGGCGGGGCAGAGTGCCCGATCTTCGAGGACGTAGAGGCTCTAGCGGGCTGTACGGTGGTGGGTGTCCCAGTGACCGCTGTTGACTGCGGGCGACGGGGGCGCGGTATTAGCTGGCGGCCTGCAAGAAAGTTAAAATTGCGGACTTACTTGGAAAAGTATATACATATGTATATATATGTATGTCTGCACATACAGACATATTATATACAAAGTAGATTTCCCATACAATCAAATAAAATCACTTACGAATTCCAGCGTTTATTCCGGCCTGTGGTTGAGCCTGGGGTGCTTGTGTGGTAGTGTTGGTGCTGCTGTCCAATAGTGAGATGTCAAAGTTGGCACGATGTTTCACCTGGTCGGGTATCTGATTGAAGCGACTCGTGTGAATGCTTGATTTGGCCACCTGATCCTCATCGTCATCGTTTGGATAAAAGCTAGTGGTGGTGTCCTGGGCGGGGGGTAGGTTGGTCGTGCGGGCGGAGGGCGGAGGCGGGGTCGAAATCAGAGTCAAACGGCGTTTGAAAAGCGGATTCTGGGTACGCGGAATTTCTGTTGCTATTGTAAATAAATGTATATGATTTGGGTTATTAAATTGTATCAATTTATTGTATGCAATTGGTCATCATTTTTTTTTGGGTATGGTATTGTTTTATTATAAAGCTGGAAGCTTCAAGAAAAAACGAACATTTACTTTTCCTTACTTTTTTTCGAATTTAGCATGAAGCCGTTAAAATAGGATTTGTGTTTGGATTTTCCATTTGAAATGTTTTTGATTTTTCATTTGATTGCCTTGGAGATAGTTTTCCTTTAAATACTTACCGCTTTCATCGGCGTTTGTTGGTGGGGCAAAAGTTGTCAACCGACGCGTCTGGAATTGGCGGCGCAGCGCAAAGCTAGCGGGCTGGAACTTGTGTTGTTTTTGTGTGACGTCATTGCTGCCGCTGCCCGAAATTGGCGTCAGCGTCGCTGCTTCGCTGGATGTGGCTGCGGCAGCTGCCTTTGCTTTAAGCTTGCTTAGGTAGGTGTTGCTGCTGGTGGATGATGTTGCTGCCGGCAGGTTGGTTGTTGCTGCTTCTGACGCGACAGTGGTGACTGCTGTAGGCAGCTTGCTGCGCAGCCGGCTGTATTTTGAGGTCGTAACTGGCAGTTCAGCAATCGGCGTTCTTGTAGCCTCCGCCGCCGTCGAAGTAGCAGCCAGCGCCGACGCAGGCGAGTTAATAATGCGACGGCGCACACTCAAGACCGGACGGCGAGAGACGCTGGCAGTCGTCGGTTGGCGCAGCTGTTAGTTGGAAGTGAACACATGAAAGTAGACAAGCAGTACTCCTATTAAAGTTTTGTTATAATCAAGAAATTATATGTAGTTTTTCACTGTGCTGTAGTGGTGTTTTATTTTTGTTTGATTATCTCCGATCAGTGAGGTTTCTGGCAGTTCAACAACAACTCAAAAGCGCGCTACAACAATACACAAATAGAATAAATAATAAAATAAAATCATTTAGGGTAACATACATAAGAGTTCTACATAAGCCTTACAATAAATTAGTTACTATTTGGTTGTGTTTCGTGTGTATTATTGGGGGTGTAAATGGAAAACCCGACAGCATTCCACAAAAATGTTCCCCTTGTTTCCCTCAACCCTTTCCTGTAGCTTTTATATTTATGTTTGACCGAAAGTTTTGGCAAAAAAAAAAGACATCAAAGTGGCAGTAACAGCCGCAAAAATGCAGTCAGGCATTTTAATTGAAGGACGTTCGGATCTGAAGTTGAGGTCAAAATAAATAAATAACCCACACGGAGCGGCATAACAAGTTATTGGCCTGGCCAATGTCCAATGGCCATTAGTTTTGCGCTACTTTGCTTTTATCCAACAATCTGGTTGACATTGAAAAGCGCCAATTAGTCCATTATATGCTTTTGAATCACTAAAAACTAGAGTTGTTTTAAATCTTGAAAGGAAATTGTTACATCGTAAGAAATTGTATATTTTTCAATGGCACAAAAACATAAAAAAGAAACTTAGAGGGTGAGTTATTTTGTGTTTTTTGATGTCAATGTCGCGCATACAATATCTGAGAAAAACAATGAAGGTACCTCAGATAACAGGTACAGGTACCAACAGGTACAAAAGAAAATTTTGGCATAACGATGAGTTTCTTTGATTCGCGATTGAGAGTCTGTATTTGTCTCGTATTTGGATATTTGGCATTTGGCAAGCCAGCTACATGCCAATGTGATTGCATAATCCCAAGCCCCGTGCCCCCTCCTGTCCTCTTGTGGCAGATGCGCACTTCTTCTTCGTCGGCAAACTGGTTGGCTTTTTGATTAAATATTGTGCAAGCGAGCTGGTCAGCCATCTGGATGGCTCAAAGTATTATAAAAACAAAACAAAAACGGAGGAATGCGGAGAGTTATGATGCGTGCAGGGCGTCGCCTGTTGCTTCTTTTCACTTCTCTCGGGAGACAAAAAGTTGTGAAAGTTGCGAAACAAAAGACTTCAGACACGAACTCGACACTTTAATAGGGAAAGTTGCAATCGCAAAGGGCGATAATTGAGTTTCAAGGGCGAACAAAATTAAAAATAAGTTGAAGAGCAGTCAAGCGATTTTATATATTACATAATACGCAATATTTCATTTTTTTTTAACTGTAAATAGTATCTTCTTGAAAAAGATGAGGATAAAGCCCTATTTGTCGGAGTGCAACATCATTGAACTGCTTTTATGCGTTGAGTGCTCGCTATGTTTGCTTTGTCGGAAATTAACGTTATTTTCAAATGGGACTTTTCATGGGCACCTTCATTAAAAAAAAGAAAACGCATAGCGGAAAATCGTTGTCGATAACGATCTTTTTATCTTCTTGATTTGTGGAGAGGCGCCTTTTCGGTCGTGATGGTAATGCTTGGAGCGTGATTTTGCTTTTTGTAATTATCGTTCATTGACTCGACTTGTTATTGTTACTGTAAAGATTATGAAACATGTCTCGTACCCTGAGCCCCTCTAAACTAAACAGCAAGCGAATTGCAAATTGTTTCAACTGAACTCGTTTTTATGTTTCCCTCTCCCCAAACTCCTGCTGAGTTCGCGAATCTTGCGGATTCATCGAAAGTTAAAACCGATTACCCGGACTACACATATGTACATATTTACATACTTAAGTAAAGCTTAGGGCTTTACTGAATGAAATACATATGAATGTATTTATACATTTTGGTTGATTCGAGGGGGACAATATGCATCTCACAAGAAATATGTATTTACGAATGTATGTATATACAGTCAGGTTGGCATTTAGACGAAGCAACACAAACTCGGAAAGATTTTAAGGCTAAATGACGAAGCGAATAACAAATTGCAAGTGACATTTGAAAGAGCAAACAAAGCGTCAAAAGGTCAAAGTGGCAGGTGGTTATAAATGCTTCAAAGGCTAGAGAATTCATCCATTTGGCAGAATTGGCAAAAAATGATTTATTATGGTTTGTACAGCAAAAAAATAGTTCCCTAACTGTAACCTACTGTAAAACATAAACTTATAATAATAAAAATAATAAAATTTACACTTATATACAAAAAGTTCCCCAAGTCGTTCCCATATATATACAAATTACACATATATATATGACATTGTCCAAGGGGTAAGAAGGGGGAGTTTAAAGGGTTTAACCATGTAAGTGTTTTTTTGTGGAAAAATAATATGTATAGGTTGTTTCATTTTGTTCATTATTTTATTATTGTGCATAAATATTTTACAACTAAAGCTAATCTTAAAATATTCGTTTTCAAACAGTGGAAAAGGTAAAAAAAAAATATGTTAAAAGAATAGAAGACAAGTAGAAAATGCAGAACTGCGCCTGATAAAAAGCAATTAGGAGTTATTTTTCCACTGTGGGTCGTTTAAATGTTCTAATTATTTATGTTTTTCCGTTTTTAGAATTTTTGAACCAAGAAAGAGTCTTTGCATCTGAGTGGGGGTGTTTGTGGTTTTATGTGTGTGAGTAGATGTTGTGTGTTTGTTTAGGTATGGCAGCTCGAAGAATACGAATAGTCAAAATAATTTATACAAAAAGGAAATTATATTCAATAAGCAGCAGCACTGTAGATAGAATGCGCTTCGAAAGAAAAGCAGAAAAAAAGATTGACTTTAAAAGTTCGATTTGAAAGAGCAAAGCAATGCAGCCAATTTTCTACGATTCGGCATTTACTTTAGTTAGATGGGTTAAAAGCTCGCTGAAGAATTCTTCTGGGAACTTTGAACTTGATATAAAACTGGATAAGGGCTAAGACTAGAAATAACTAACTAACATATGTTGGTCTGATTCATATTTTAAGTGTGTGTTTTTGTGACCTATTCCGGCACCATTGTGGTGGTGTCGTCGTAACCCTCCTCCACTGTGGTGGTGGGTGTTTCTACAGTGGTCGTTGTGGGTGCCGCTGTTGTGGTTGAGGTCTTGCGGTTGCGCAGGCGTCGACCCCGCCCCTTGCGCCCGCTTTTCTTGCGATGCACCACATGTTCTTCCGTGCTAAAGCTCACTGACTCGCTAACTCTTCTGCCGTTAACAGTTTTGTATGTTTGGTTATTGTTGCTTTGTGTTAGAGTGTTTGGGTTGATATTTTCCATGTCGTTTTTTATAGTGGTCGTTGTAGGTTTTATTGTTGTAGGTGAGTCAACACCTTCTCTCTGACTAATAGCGTCACTGCTGGTTACTGTTTCCGCTTCTGAGGTTGTGTATGCTGCCCCAAGCTGACCCACAATAGCCGCTCCAACGGGAACGGCTTTCGGAGTTGTTGTTTCTAGTGTGTTATCAGTGGTTGTCTCATAGACAAAGTTTGTGGTTTGCTCAACGACTTCTTCTTTATCTGGGCTGTCGATTGCTGTTTGAGTGGTTTCTTCCCTGTCGTCTGAATCAAAAGGGGCCCGCACCACATGGTGCTGGCGCACAGAAAAAGCGCTATTAGAATCAGGCGCCATAGTGGTTGCAGTGCCCGTGACTTCGGCGGCAGGAGTGGTGATGCCCTCCGCCTCGTTCAGGGACTTCTGCACCTTGCTCAATATCACCTGATCAAGATTGGCTATCGAGATAACCAATGGCGAGGACTCATTGGATTCTGGTCTTAGGAGGGGTACAATCGGTCTTACATAAGCAGGCGACACAGTTGCCAGGGTATTGGTGGTGCTGGTATTAAGGTCGATGTTGATTTCCGGACTGCTTGTGGTTATTCCCTCTACTCCGTCATCGCTCAACAAGCTATTTCCATTTAGCTGCTTGCCTTTTCGCGCCGAATCAAACAAACCCTCCAGAGAAATAGTTGAGGTCTCCAACGCACCACTTATGACTTCGGGCAGTAAGGATTTTCCGCTCCTGTCCTGATCCGGCAGTTCTGGTAAGGTATTCCTCACAGGTGGCGAGTTGCGCGCCTCGGCAAGCGTAGGTTCCGTGGGCGTATAGTCCGCCACCGTGCTGTGGCCATCATTGATTTGAATATCGCTGCCGTCCACCAGGTGCACGTACTTCACCACACTAATTTCGCCAAGCTGCTCCACGTGGGGAAGGGACTCTACACGCAGGATGCCAAAGTCCTGGTTAGCCTTCGACTTGCGCTGAGAGGCCTTGGCCTGCTTAGAATTGATCTCGACGATGCGATTAATCTCAATAAACTTGTGCTTTGGCACTACCTCGATCTGCCTGGTGGGCAGCAAGAGGGGTATTGGCTTCCTTGTTGTGGTCTGCACCTCATCCTCCGATTCGCCCTCCAGCAGGGTGAACACATGTAGAAGAGTGGTGGCCGGCGGCGGAGCCTGGGTGGTGCTCGACGACGATCCAAACTGCGGCAAACTGGGGAGGTCCTGTGAATTGATGGAAGTGGCTTCATTAGCATTGGTCGCTGTTTCAGTTTCTGTTTCGGTGGCTGTTTCTATTTTTGTTTCTGTTACGGGTTCAGTTTCGGTTTCAGTTTCAGTTTCAGTTTCTGGTGTAATAGTGGTGACTGGGTTTGCCTGTGTGTCTGATTGTGTGGTGCTGGGTGGTGCTGGTGGTTGAGGTTCTGGTGTACTGGGTGTAGTGGTCACAAAGCCCTGCTCTTCAGTGGTTTCCTCATCTGCCACCGCGGCCACCTCTGTTTCGCTCTCCACTTCCAATTCCGATTCGGATCCGGCCCCAACCTCAGCCCCATTCTCTGGCCTTTGGACCTTTTGCTTAAACGTGGTGTGCTTCTTGCTATGTATGTCAAATATCTTCTTGTTTCTGGCATTCAGTGCGTCGATATTCAAATCTTCAATCAGTGAGTTCTCGCTGGCCGTTTCGGCTGCCTCGGTCGATGGCCCGTTATACTTTCGCTCATAACTCCTTGTATTGCTAGGAATGAATGGAGCCGGTTTGAGGGGCGTCAGGGGGGTGGTACGCTCGTAGTCGCTTGCCACCGGCTTGAGGGTCAGGTTGGGGGAAGCCACTCCTGGCGGTCTGTTAACCACCCGAGGTCGCTTCGTGGTACCGAAGCGATTGGCCGCTCCGTTGGCAATTGTGGTGCTGGACGATGGGCGATTTCGCGGGTTGAATGGGACATTTCCGCCGCCGGTACCTGAGGGCCCTGTGGCCCCACTTCCAGTGACTCCAAAGGTAGGTCTACTTCCAGGTGGAGCACGATTGTCCTTGGGCTTGTAAGGTGAATTGAATTTGGGCTTAGTTGTGCTGTCCTGCTTGGGATTTTCTTCTTCTCCAATGGAGGGCTTCTCCTGAGGCTCATCTTCCTCTTCATCCTCTTCCTCCTCCTCCGAATCATCTTCCTCGTCATCGTCTTCTTCTTCCTCGCTGTTTTCGTTGTTGTTTTCATGAGCCTGTTGCTTGCCGGGTGGCTTTCCCTTGGGCACAAAAGGTTTTCTCAAAACGCCGCCACCCAGTTGGTTTTGCAGAGGTTGTTCGTGTTGCGCCTCCAGCTCCTCCTCATGGTCATCGACCTCGTTGTCCTGATCACCGCTCTGGGACTTGAATCGGTCTGTGCCGGGCAGCCTAGCTCCTCGAGGGTCGCTTCGAACAAAGCCCTCGCCGCGCTGACGAACGTTCGAGTTGAAGGGGTCGAATCGGCCATTCTTGCGCCGCACGAATTTGGCCGTGGGCCGGGTGGTGCTGAAGTTAATTGGAGCCTTAGTGGTCCCCACTGACCCACTTCCCGACGGTGGAGAGTAGGGCCGTCTAGCTACCAATTTTCGCTTAAAGAAGGGTCGGGGCGAAGTAGGCCCTAAAGCCGCATCCTCTTCTTTTTCTCCTGGCAACTCCTGACGCGGTTTTTCCGACTTCTCGGCGAGCAGTTTCTTCAGACGTTCATTGATTACCCCCTGGTCCCCTTCGCCACGAGCTTGTTCGGCCTTAACCTTATCCCTCAGCCTCTGCAGATCTGAGACCTCGTGGTCCTGTTCCCTCTGAGTCTGAGTCCTTAATCGATTACTGGGAATGAATGGTTTGCGGGTGGTTTCCTCGGCATTCGTCTCCGCCGCACTGGAGAGCGTGCTGGAGCTCACGGGCCTCAGTTTTCGAACTACTTTCCGGAATCGTTTTGTGCCGGTGGTTGTGGTTGTGGATGTGTCTGTGGGTGGAGAGGTGACTGTGGCTGTGTCGGATGTATGTGGAGAATTAGTGTCAGTGACGCTATTAGGAAGACTATCTAAGGCAGTGCTATTGTTATTGCTACTGTTTAGGGGCCTGCGGAATTTGAGCACTCGAATGCGCTTCGGCGTCGGCCTGCTAGTTGTGGTGGTTGTCGTTTCGGCAGCTTCGTCCTCGCTAGCCTCTTCGTCCTGATCTTCTCGAGTATCTTCTGCCAGGCCGGGCTTGCCCTTGGCCTCCGTCTCGTCAGTCTGCTGATCGACTAGGGTTAGTTTAGTTACCTGGGCGCGCTGGCGAGCCCCGAAGGCCAAACGTCTGGCGTTGGTCGAGGAAGGTGCTTGAGTGGTGGTGCTGGAGGTTGTGCTGGTGCCGCTGCTTCTGGTGCGGTTCAGTTGATAACGGTTCTGAAAGCGTCGTTTAAAATTAACGTCATTTCCTAACGCATTCTCCCCCTGCTTCTCTAAGCTAACATCATCATCATCTTCGTTATTATTATCATTATTAACATCATCTTCAACGCCTTGACTAGCTGGCTTAATATTAGATTTGTAGGTGTTTGTGAAACTTCGGTTTGACTTGAAACGATTAATCAAATAATTCGCTACGGTGCTGTTACTACGTTGACTAGCTACATTCAGTGCAGTGCTTAAGTTATTGGTGCTGTTAGGGTTAGTACTAGTGATAGAGTTAGTGTTAGTGTTAGTGGTAGTTTTTGCAGTAACGTCGGCCTGATTATTGCTACCATCATATACCTCCGAGGAGTCATCCTCCTCTTCTTCGTCATGGTCGTATTCGTTATCGGTTTCGTCCGAGTCAGTTTCTTGTGGCTTGTTGGATATGTCATTGGGTCTTTGGGTGATAGGCGTCCTGAGTGGTTGTCTTTGTCTGCTGGCAAGAAGTTGACCCAATCTAGAGCTTGATGTTGGTCGACTGTGGCTTTCCGGTTCCCCTTCCTCATCATATTCGTCGGCCTCTTCCGCATCCTGCTGTTGCTCTTCGTCCTCCTCCTCTTCCTCGTCCTCGTCTTCCTCCTGTCGGTGGTACAGATTCCTGTTTATGGCCACTAAGTTGCGACGCGTACTCGAGCTGACTCTGAGTGGTGTCGGTGTGGTGCGACGACTTGCAAAGCTGGGTGGCTTCCGAGAAGATGTCTCGTCATCTGCTGTGGGTTGCAGAGCTCGATGGCGGTTGGTTTGATGGAAGCCGGGCCGGGGCAGTACCACGCGTTCTTCTTCGTTTTCGACGTCAACATTTATATCACTATCTTCTTCCCCAATGGAAGCTATAGCTCGTGGGGTCGTGAATCGACTACGTGAACGGTTCAAGGCCGAGTAGGGACGACGTGTGGTGGTAATTTCTACGCTGTTCGGTACCTCTGAAGCGGTTGTTGTTGTGCGTTGACGTGACAAATACGGTCGCCGTGTGCTGCTTGGTATTACCTCACCTTGATCTATTTCATGGTCAGCACTTGGACCCTTTGTTGTTGATGCAGAGGTGGTATTGAAGCGTCGGCGTATCAAAAGCTGCCGTCTCGATGGAGCATTTGTTGTTGGGACTTTTATTGTTGAGCTCTTATTATCATCTTGATCAATCTCATTATCCAGATTTTCCTCTGGGTTAGTGGTTGTTGTTGCTGTTGTCGCATTAATGCGCCGACGAATCACCAGCTGGCGACGTGAGGTTGTGCTTTTTGGAGTGGTCGTCGGTGTCTTTGACGTTGAGGTTGGTTTAACATCTTCAAGAGAAATCTCATTGTAATCATCGATGTGAGCCTCTAGTTCACCTTCTTCAGTTGTGCCCTCAAATTCTTGGGGTTCATTGTGCTCCTCCGGGGGGTGATCCGTTTGATTTTCCGCCTCTCCTTTTTCCTCAGGGACTGGGGCTAATGTGGTAAATTCCGCAGGTTCATTTTCATTGTTTTCTGCTTCAGTCTTTTCTGTCGTGGTTGTTGTTGTGGAAGTCACTCTACGACTGATGCCCACATAAGGTTGTCTGGTGCTTCTTACCGTAAACGCTGTTGTAGTCTCAGTTGGGGAATTACTTGTTGCTTTAGTGGTAGGGGTGCTGTTGCTAACACGACCCTTAAATCGATTCTGCCCAGCAAAAACTCGTCTCGTTGTGGACTCTATCTTAGTCTGGTCCTGGTCCTCTTCAAGTTCTTCTGTTGTGGAAGGGATTGACGTTGTAGAGCGACTGCGGAATCGTTGAGAAACGCTGTAGCTTCTTCGAGTGGTAATATCCAGTGCCTCTTCTTGGGCTCTTTCCGGCAGCTTGGTGGATAGTGTCACGCGAGTGCGATTCAGTCTTGTGTAGGTGCGCAGCGCCCTTGCATCTGAATCGTCTCTTTCTTTTTCTTCTAGAAGCGAAATACTCACAATCTTAGAAGTTCCATTAGTTGATTCAGTATCTAAAGGGATTGTTTTGAAGGTTTTTCCTTGTCTATGTAACGGCTTGTCTTTTTCTTCAACGGCTTGCCCGTATTCATCCTCATCAATCTCAGCAGTTATCTCTTCATCGTCTAGAGTTTCCTCTCCTGATCCGACCAATTTTGCCCCCGGGTGACCTACTTTGACCCGGGGGTTTTCAATAAAAAATGACCGAGCTCGGCATTGATTTCTTTGGCCTGTTCCATTGCGAGGCGATGATCTTCGTTGTCACCCTCGCTCTCAAGCGAATTGTTTGGTGTCTCGTTACCACTGACATTGAACACATCATGTATCTGCTGTTTTATATTCACAGTCACATTTTCGATGTCCGGTGGAGCTGGGGACTTGTCAATGTAAGTGATTGGAGAGTCCTTCACATACTGGTAGTACTTCCTTCTGTGATATATGGGAAGGGAAAGCTTATCATCGCTATCGTCGGCGGTCACTGCAGCTTCTTTGACTGAGGCCCCGTTTTCAACTGTATTCCCCGACTGCAGGCGGTTAATAGCTTTCGTCAACTGGTCTTTAAGATTGCTTAAATCTACTTCAGTGGTGCTGGAGATTACGGTTGTTGATTCAGTAGTAGTGGATGTGGAGCTAGTTTTAAGTCGATTCACAAATCTTAACTTTGCTGCTGCTAATTGGTCATCTGGGGCCTCGTCGTCAGCCGTTTCAGGAACGATAGTCGGGGAGGTGGTGGTTGTGGTACTCAAAGGTCTTCTATAGCCTACAATTCGCTTTGTGTTGGATTCCGTGGAAGCGTTTTCTATACTAGTTTCAGTGGTTGGGGATGGCGCTTTAGATGGTCTCCTGAAAGTAAAGTTGGACCTCTTAGTGTTGGCTTCAATTTTATTCTCTTCTTCAGTGGAAATAGATGTGGTGGAAGTGGTCGTGCTACGTCGGGTGGGCCTGCTTCTTTGAATAATCGCCCTGGCGGTGGTGCTCACTACTGGCTCATCCTCTTCCCCCTCGTTTCCTGCCTCGTACTCGTATTCCTCCACTTCCTCGTGCTCTACTGTTTCCTTGGGTCTTTTCAGCAGACGTCGGCGCATCTTCGTTACAGTTGCCTCAGTGGTTTGGGCCTTTTGACGATTGCGCGAGGCAAAGTCTAGAGCCAAAAGAGAAGACAGATCGTTGCTCTGGAAACGGACAGAGCCACGGTTTCGAGTCACACTTCGCTTCGTGGTGCTTGGCGTCGGCGGTCGCGTTACTTCATCAACTATATACTCGTATTCAGCGGGTTTCTCCTCTATAGTTTTGGTGTGAATGCGCTTCACTACTTTTTGACCGGCGTCTAGGGTTCGCACATAAGTGGTGCGTGTGCGAGTAATGCCATTTCCAAGATTCTCGGTTTTAGTTGTGGTGCGGTTGCGAAGCGTATTAAACGAGGATCGATTACCAGTATTTGAATTCTGCAACGGTTTCGGCTCTTCTGGCTGTTTCGACTTCGAAAGAAATTCCGTTTCTTCAAGTTCTTTTCTTGGAGACTTTTTAACATCCAAAGGTGCTTCAGTGGTGCTCTGCTGATGGTTTCGGACCCTTTTGTTTGCATCCGCAGCCAGGAGAGAAGAAAGATCTCCCTCTTGACGAGGTCTGTATTTACCTCGAACTATAACGCGACGACGAGGAAGAATCGTTGATGTCTCAACTTCGTTTTTCTCTTCTGTAGAAGATATAACTGAAGCTTCAGTACTTCTGCTGCGAAAGAGAGGTCTACTGGTGGTGCTGATTACACCCGTGGTGTTCGACGCCTTGTTACGGAAAAACGAACGTTCTGTAGTGGCAGGATCTGGTATCTTTGGTTCAAGTTCATCGCTAGCTGAGGTGGTTTCTTCGGTTACATTGGATTTTGGAGCTTCAGTGGGGGTACTGCTAAAGAATGAACTTCGTGTTGGTGCATTTTCAGTTGTGGTATCCGTAGGAATTTCCGCTTCAGTAGAGCTACTAATGGTTTCTTTAATTAAATATTCAGGGATGCCATGTCTCATAAAAGAGAGACGTTTTGAGGCCTCGGTTGATGGGCCATCATCGCTAAGATCTAGACTAGAACTGCCAAGAGTTTTATCAGCGTTGCTGAAGCTTTTCCCAGTTGAATCTTCCGTGCTGCTAACTTTAACGAAAGAGCGTTCAGTAGATGTAAGTTCTTCTTCATTTACGGCAGCAGGGGTACTTCTTTCTTCTGTAGCGACTTTCGTTGTGCTTTCTGTAAAGAATTTTCGCCTTTTAATTTCTTTTACGGTTGATTCTTCAACAGATATTGCTTCAGTGGTGCTACTGGGCTTTTCAGTGCTTCTGACTCTAGTCCTTAAAACTACTCGACGTCTCGGAGCGCCACTAGTTGTGGTTGTTTCCTCTGTGGGGTTGGGTTCTGTGGTTATTGAACTAAATAGGTGAAAATCACTTGGCTTTGCTGCGGTTGTTAGGGTATTTTCTGTGACTGGCAGTGATTCAATACTGATCGCTGGAGGTTCAGTGATGGGTGTCTTATCTCCCTTGGGGGTTACTGTGCTTTCTTCAATCGAAGACACGCGATTTATCTCACTTATTCTGCTGATAGATTCTTCGGATGTTGAGGTGTTACTGATGTTTACCGGTTCGGAAGAACTTTCTATTCCTGATTCTTCAAGAGGACTCAGAGTGGTTATTTCAGATACTTCAAGAGCCTCTGCCGGAAGCGGTAATTCTGTGACAGATTCAGGCGATTCTTGCTCGGTAGCTGTATTGCTATCATCGGAATTTCCACTGCCAGCTGGGGCTTTGGTTTCTCCCCTTTTCTCGTTGTCAATAACCTCCGCGGCTATATTTTCATCTTCGGCCGAGGCATCAACATTCAGGCTACCTAATGTGGGAGTAAAATGATGAATGGGTAAATTTAGAGCCTATATTAGATATTCTTACTTGACTGATCGCCTCGGTAGGTGCTTTGGAAGCTGCGGGTACTATGGACGATTCCGGCAGTAGCGTGAGCCACCTCAGACTCGTCTTCGGCAGAGTTAAGGCGACGACTGCGAAACTTTGTGGTACTGGAAAGGTCCTGCTCCAATGGTATGTCGGAGTTCAACTGCTTGCCAGCAAAACGGCGCGAGTCTTTATCATCCCCCGCCAGAGAATTGCGGGGACGCTGGGTCGGTCTTCGCACCGCCCGCCACGTGTACTTAGTCTTGGTCTGGGTAAGGCTGCCATTATCGGGATCATCGATATGGTTTGGGGTTTGACTTAAACTAGAGCTAACTACTTCATGCCTTAAGCTATTGCCACCATTACCAGCTACTTCTACGTGGGATTCTAGTTGATCTTGGTGGTGGAGGTTGTGCAGTGTGGTGGTTGTGGATCTGTTTGCTGTTGGAAGACTGGCACTCACCTTGGGCCTATCCCCTGGGGATGGTCGCGTCTTCTTCACTACACTTGCAACGGCATCGGTTTCGTTTGTATTATCGTTATAGGTACTGTTATTGTTATCGTTATCAGATTGGTAAGTGGTGGTGGTGGGGGTGCTACTACTAGGTCGTGTGCGACGACGGGGATACCCAAAGGGTCGGGGACTAGAAACACTGCTCAGGCTGGCAGAGGGAGAACTCGGTTGTATGGTTGTATGCTCGGGTTGGGTTTGGGATTGCCTTCTGCCCGGGTGGGTATTTGTGGAGGCTCTAATGTTATTTAAACTACTCAAACCGTTTCGTGGACTAGCATCGTTCGCAGCTTCTGAATTGTTGTTGCTTGCAGTTTTGTTTGTGGTTGTCGTTGCTGTTGTTGTTGTTATGCGTCTTCGATTGGTGGTGGCATACTTGTACTGTGTCTTGGGTTTTGTTACCTCACTGTCATCGCTGTCGTTGTCAATGTCGTTATTCAGTTCACTGTGGATCCCTGCGGACGTAATTGTTGCTGTTGTTGTTGTCTTCGGTGTGGTTGTCGTTGCCGTGGCCAGTTCGGGTTCCGTGGTGGTTGTTGGAAGTGCTAAGTCAGGGGAGTCGGTGATAAGGGGGGTGGGCGAAGCGTCGCCCGAACTTTCGGAATCGGCGCTAGGGATGTTTGTTGTTGGGGTAGTGGATGCTAGACTTGGTGTGGGTGTGGGTGTGGTTGTGGTAGATGGGTTGTTAGTGGTTGTTGTGGTTGAGATTCTATCATTTGGTTCAGTGGTTTCGTTAGTTTTTGTTGCTGTGGTTGTTTCGGGCTCTTCGGGATTGGTGCTGGTTGGTGTAGGGAGTGCTGTGGTGCTGCTTTCATCTGTTACTGTTGTTGGTATTATGTTATTCTGTTTCACTTGGTTGTTGTTGTTGTTGTTGTTGTTGCTATTGTAGTGGATGTTGTTGTTGTTGGCCTTGGCGGTCTCTGTGCCTGAGGTGGTTGTTGTTTCGGGTGTAGCTGTGGTTGTACTTCTGCGGCCTATGCTCGCATATTTACGTGTGTTTGTGCTTTGTTTTCTTTGTACCGTAATATTCTCCTCCTCGTACACCTCCTCCTCGTCTTCTTGGTCAGCTGGATCTTCCTCATCCTTGGAAGCTTCCAAAGTCCCCGCTTTTGTGGGTCGGGTCCGCTCGAAGTATTTGTAACTAAAACAAGGTTATTATTTAAAGATTGTTTAAATTATGATTTTAACTCAGAACTCACCGATTGGTCGTTGAACTAGGGACTGTTTCGGTGACTTCCGTCACTAGAGGTGCTGTGGTGGTGCGTTCTCTTGTACGGCTTAAGGTAGCATAGGATTTGACCTGCTGCGGAACCTTCTTCTCCACCACCTCGTCTTCCTCCTCCTCCTGATGGAAGGACTCTCCTGCAGGTGGTGCCACTGTGGTGGGTCTTGTCCGTCGAAGACTAGTATACGACGGGGTTATGGCGCTCAGGGCACGACGAGTACTTGTCTCCACCTGATCGTTCTGATCGTCCTCTTCCTCCTGTTGGCTGTGTTCCTCAGCTTCGCCCTGATTGGGTGACCGCTGGCGATTGATGGTTACATATTGCTTGCGTTCTTTAAGAAAACCATCGAACTCAGCCAGCTTCTCGATTCCCTCGTTTTGGGGTCCCTGGCGACTGTTGCCTCTCAAAACGGAGGAGTACTTCGAGTAGCTGTTGCCGGCAGACGCACTGGTGCTTGTTGTTGCTTCAGTGCTCGACACAGAGGCTTCGGCAATTTTCAAGCGGTTGCGTGTGAATGAGCTCAAAGTTCCGGGGCGACTAAGCACTCGGTCATACAAGGATTTGCTGATCGTCGAGGGCGTGGTGGCAGCCCCGTTAGCGGAGTTCTCCTTAAGTGTAATGGAGCCGTCCTTGTTGCGCAGGAGGTGCTTTTCCAATTGCTCCACTCCACCCACTTTGCGTATCAGATCGATCAGTTCCTTGATTACCTGAGGATCCTCTTCTCCGTCGGTGGACTTGTTAGGCGACTGTTCATCAGTGTCCTCCTCGTACTCCAGATCTTCCACGGGCTCCGGAGTTGTTGTAGTGGTCGTAGTGCTGGTGGTGCTGGGACGTGGATGCACAGGACGAGCGGTCGGAGCCGCTGTCACGCGATTGGAACGAACCGTGGTGGTCGTGGTGGTGGAGGTCACAGGAGTGACTGTGGTCGATCTAGCAGGATGAATTGAATTGTGAAAAAGACATTGCATTGAATTTGAAAAGCGTCCACTCACTTTTTCGTCTTGCAGGGTACATTCCTGGCAAAGTCACAAGAATCAGCTGCAGGATTAAAATATAGTCCCGACGGGCAGGTGAACATATGGGCCACGATTCCTAGGCCAGAAGGACCGCTGTCTAAGCACCAGTAGTACTTCTTGCAGTCCCTAGGGTGCTGGAAGAAGCCCTCTTCCTCGCACTTGAAGTCCGAGCCTGGGTCCGGGGTAGTGGGCGGAGGCGGAGTGGTGGACGCCCTACCTCCTATGTAGAGAGACGAGCCCTCGGCATCAGTCAGCTTGAAAGTTGTGCTTGGAGGAGGGGCCTGAGTGGTTCTGGTGACAACGGGTCGTCGGGTTACAGAGGGTCGCACGGACGTCGAGGTCGCCTCTGATTTTCCATTCAGGCGATTTCTAGTGCTTCCATTATCGCGGCTACGGGAACGCGATGGTTTTTGGAGACTACTCGGCTTGGCCACCTCGTTGATGCCGAGACTGGAAAGACAATAGAGGTTTAAACAGGATTTCTATGCAATGCTTTGGATTATTTTACCCCAGAGCGTCCACCATAGCCTCTTTGGCTGCCTCAATCAGGGGGTATGGTTTTCCATTACAGGTTCCCCGGAAATCATCGTTGTCAATTGCCCAGAACATGATTCCGCCTAGGCCTTGGGCCACCACATATTCAGCCTTCTTGCGCACAATAGCCTCGTCATCGTAGCCCACCCACTGGTTCCTTCTGAAGGCGTAGGGACCCATAACATTGGCGTTTGGTTGCACCACCGTCCACTCGGGATCGTCTTTCAACGTCTGACAGATCTGGAAGAAAGCAGGGTCACTTGGTGACTTGTAAAAAAATTGTAAATGCTTACTTCATAATAGGCCAGGTATCCCTTTTCGCGGGTGGCGTCTCCTTGCTCTCCCGGACCCTCAGAAGGAGCGCCCAGCTCGGTACTCTCCTCGTTGATCAGGGTATAAGATCGACCATAGGTGGGAATTCCCAACACCAGCTTGTCTCTGTCTGCTCCAGCTTTTAGGTAGTACTTGATTGAGTAGTCCTTAAAATTTAACAAAATTAGAACCAGAAAGGAATAAAATCAAACCAATTCCTACAATATTCAGCTCTGCATCATAGTTGTACTCGGAGTCCTCCTCCAGTGAATACAAAGGAGCATGGTGGTTGACAGAGGGCTCGTGGGAGGAGTGAAAATCATAAGTGAGAACGTTAAACCAGTCGAGATACTTGTTCAACTTAGGCACATCGTAGCCTTTGTCTATGTATTCTATGCCGGCGGGCACAGCCATGGTCAGGAGGAGACGCGTCCTGCCGGTCTTCTCCGCCTCCCGCTCAAATTCGGCTCGAAGCTCCTGGACGAACTGGGCGTAGTTGTCGCGGTCCCGGGACTTGCCGCCTTCGCGGTGGGCGGGGTACTCCCAGTCCAGGTCGATACCGTCGAAGTGGTTCTGGCGCAAAAACTTCAGGATGTTTTTGATGAACTGCTGGCGACGATCCGGACTTGCAACCAGGGGGGAGAAGCGAGAACTGGCCTCGTTCCAGCCTCCTATGGCAATCATAGTCTTCAGCTGCTTGTTGTAGGTCTTCAGTCCGGTGAACTTGGCATAGCCACCTAGTGGATGGAGTTGGGGGAGGATGCATGGTGTCCATCAGACGGACAGGAAATTAAAATCGAGCCAAATTAACTCGCCGGATAAAAGGGGCGTGTCTGGGTTGCGGGCACGAGCAAACAAACACAAACACAAACTCACCCTGCTCGATGTCCTGGTACTTGTCGAAGGGCTTCATCTGGTTGTCCTTCGTGAATCCACCGAATGCGTACACCAGATGTGTACACAGGTATGGATTGATGTTCTGCGGATTGAATTTTGCCGTTCCTGGACGGTAGACACTCCAGTTTGTATAGTAACAGACGACGCGACCCTCGCTGCTGGCCTCTGTTATGGGTTGGAGTTTTAGGGTTTTAATCGAGTAATTATTAAATTGATCAAAACAAGCAAGTTTAAACACCTAGGGAACTTAAAAAATTATATCAACACAGTGGAATAGTAATAGCTACATGATCATTTCAGATATGTACGTTATGTTTGTAATACTTTCTTAGTCCAAACCTTTCTGTGTGTATTTTGTAGCACTCTCCTCTCAATATAAAATGTTTTAGAACTTACCATTAATGCAATAGGCAAGTGCGCAGAGGAGGAAGAGTGTTTGCCACACCGCTCCACGTCGGAACTGCAATGGAGAACAAATAAATCAAATATAATTAGAGATAATGAAATGATTTCTTATGAACGAAATTTCTGACTCCAGGCGGAAGTCGTCTCGGGGGCTTTGAAATCGGTTCTCGGATCGATTAGCACGAAACGCTTTGGATTCGATAGAGCATTGACACAGTGACATCGATGGATCGGACAGATTGGAGATAGGAAATTGGACAGGGTTCCGGTCCACACGAGTAACAAAAGACCCACGGTTCCCATGAAGGTCGAAGCGACCCGTCGAAAAGACACGTCTTACATAAGCTGTGATGAGATGAATTTCATATGCAAATCGGACCTAATCAGATGCAGGGGCGCCCCCTTGAGCCACGCCCTATTCGGTTATGAACGACGAGGCGACACGGAAACGGAGCTAGGTTCATTATTTGTGCGGAGTGGGTCTCGAGCTCTGGCAATTGAGCCTGAGTCACACTCAAAAATATCTTAAACGGATTTTCATATTAAAATGCCAAAGTGTTACAACAGCCCCACAATGGGCCCAAATCTTTTTGGATTTTGGTCAGCGGCCATCGAAAGAGAAACAACAAGCCGACAAATATTACATAACATAAAACTCTGGCTGAACTGAAACTGAAAACTGAAAAAAACTTGACTTCGATCGCGTATGTGCGTGTGTTCGTGTATGTGAGCGAGCCATGCCGGTTTCTGTTTTATTTTTGTACAATTTTTATACGATTTTTTTGGCTTCATTGATGGGAGTGATTTTTACACATAGCGCCGAAACAAAGTGCCTGGCATAAAAATTGATCAAGCTGCTATGTAAGACATCTCGTCATCGTCTTCGCCGAAAACATCTGCCTTCCCCAGTGTGGTTGCTGGGAACAGGTTAGCTCCATAACTAATTAGCAGTCTATAACGCTGTATCTTAGCATCGGTATCTGTGGCTACATGTGTCATTACTAGATGAGGCAGCGGGTAATTACGGGTGACGGGAGCAGCTTTCTTTTGCCAAAAATCAATTTAGAGTTATTAAGTCAAATCAAAATTAGTCGCAAGTCTCTCTCAGTAGAATATCAGGCGATTACCCAAAGAAATCGTCAGAAAGTCACTCAAATATTGCTTCAAAGTGTAGATAGAACCAAGGTTCAAGTTTTTTTTTAATATAAACAAGAAAGCAAAGCTAACTTCGGGCGGAGCCGAAGTTGATATACCCTTGCAGCTAAAACCGAATATATAGCGCAAACATCGGATATAGTTGGCCGATCCTTATGATTACATCATAATAAAACCAATTAATTACAATAAAAAATCTAAAAACAAGAAAGGAAAGCTAACTTCGGGCGGAGCCGAAGTTTATATACCCTTGCAGCTAAAACCGGATATATATCGCAAACATCGGATATAGTTGGCCGATCCTTATGAAATTTGGTACGATGGATCAAAATATAATCTGTACCAAGTTCCAGCTTTCTATCTTCAAAAACACAAAAGTTGGGTCATTTCCGATCGTTCAGTTATATGGCAGCTATAGGATATAGTCGGCCGATCCTAATGAAATTTGGTAGGTTGGATCAACTAACCAAAAATAGAGTCTGTACTTAATTCCAGCTTTCTATCTTCAAAAACACGAAAGTTGGGTCATTTCCGATCGTTGAGTTATATGGCAGCTATAGGATATAGTCGGCCGATCCTTATGAAATTTGGCATGTCGTATTATTTTGCCAAAAATAGCTCTCATGTCAAATTTGAACTCTCTAACTCTAAAAACACCAAAGTTATACCATTTCCGATCAATCAGTTATATGGCAGCTATAGGATATAGTCGGCCGATCCCGGCCGTTCCGACTTATATACTGCGTGCAAAGGAAAGAAGGGTGTGTGCAAAGTTTCAAGACGATAGCTTTAAAACTGAGAGACTAGTTTGCGTAGAAACAGACAGACGGACAGACGGACAGACGGACAGACGGACAGACGGACAGACGGACAGACGGACAGACGGACATGCTCATATCAACTCAGGAGGTGATCCTGATCAAGAATATATATACTTTATAGGGTCGGAGATGTCTCCTTCACTGCGTTGCACACTTTTGGACAAAATTATAATACCCTCTGCAAGGGTATAAAAATAAGTCAGCTTTTCAGCTTCTGAGAAAACAGAAACGCTTTCACACTTCTCCTCGCAAAATCCTTTAGAGTATACTGGAGTCCGTTGAAGAACTAGCTTTAAAAAAGCTTTGTTCTCGTGTAATGCTACCACTTTGACTCTGCTTCTGCCGCGAAGAGGCAATGAGGGGCGGCAAATGGGGACAGCTTTCCCCTCTTGGCCGTAAATCGCAACAGTACCCATATCCGTCGCACTTGTGCCATTTCAGCCAAAAAGCTACTCGAACACATTCTGGCGGGATCGGAATCCCTCTCTGAGTGGCCAACCGCTAACAGCTAGTAGCTAATAGCAAATAACAATGGCTAATGGGACGAAAGCGTGTGCTTGGTGTGCTTGATGGACATTAGGTCATTGGACCAGGTAAGACCGCAGGTAAACAAGCTCTGTTTATGGAACGCTTTGGCAATTTACATTTATATATAGCCATCATTTACATGGTTGTGGTACTGTGCAGTAGCTTTTGTCGCTCACGCATTGCCTAACATTACTTTATGGCAGCTTTTTCTGGTACTGCAGCTGCTTACATAAAAGACTGCAGGCCAAAATAAAAATGACCAAACAGAAATAATCAAAATGAAAAAGAAATGGCAACAATTTGGATTGTACAATGCGCATGAGCATTCGCATTTCGCATTTCGCATTGATTGGTTAGCGTTTGCTTTGACAAATTTGCCCATTTTACGCACGGTGAACATTACACGGAGGAAAACCGCCAAGAGACAGAGCTCCAAGAGGGGAGACAATCAAAGTAATGATGGATAAAGTGATCCAATCACACTCATTTTTTTCGTGTGCCTTGCCATACTTGCCCTGAAAGACAAGTGCAAGATTTGTTTCAGTTTTTTCAATTGCAACTTGTGACTGTGGCTGGCAATTAAAATCAGAGCCGAAAACAGTCAGGTAGTGTGGATGTTGCTGCTGGGACGGCAACAAGTCACTAGCAACAAAAACCTGCAACGTGCAACTTGCAACCTAAGTGGCTGCAGGGCAGGCCAAAACAGTTCTCAATTTTGGCCGGATTTACAGCTAGTAGCACACAATTTATGGACAAGTTGTTGCTGTTGCAGTTGCTACTGCGACAAGTTGCAACACTTAACTGTGTGTGTGTGTGTGTGGCACATTTACACATATTTATTCGCTTTTAAAATGCAGCTGGATGGGTTACGTAAGCCATCGCGTTACGCTACTAAAAAGTAAAACCCAAAAACACACTCCACAAATATGCAGAAACATTGCGTATTACATTATACTTGCAGTTTCTGAGTTGCAGTTGGTTTGCATAAAATCTGGATTTAACCTTGAATCGGCAAGACCTGGTTCACTTCGGATTTTTTTTTATTTCGAAGCAGGTTTTGTTTTTTAGTTGAGAACTCGGGTCACAAAAGATCGATTGCACGGCCCTGATCAGTCGCGATTGAATGTGGTTGTCGCACGAAATAAAATCCCTGCCTAGGATCACGAGCCACCGACTCTATTTAATTAGAGTTAATTGAGTGCTAACCAGGCGTAAGCACCTGCACCATTAAAAGGAGCCCATTAACTCGAAACTGTTCATAAATCTATATAAATATGCGAAGTGTTTTATAGTTTGGTTTGGCTTCGAAAATGGTGTTGGCATGTTTATTCGTTCGGTTTGGCCTGGGCTTGAATTAATTACAGCAGACAGTTTTTAATATGATAGGCCAGATGAAGGAATGTTAATGACTCACTGGCAGCTGTGAGTACAATGGAAACCCTGCTTGTGAATCATAGGTAAATTTTTGGTAGATGCGGGTCTCGTTTTAGCCATCAATCTTGGCCAGAAAGTACTTCGCATATAATGCAAAGGCTATTCATAACACCCGCCTGCAGCAGCTGCAGCTTTAGACTCACGTGCACTCAGACCCTCCGGCACTCGCACTCACTCGTTCAAACCCGTATTCACACACACTGCTTGGCCCAAAATCATGACTGGCTGGAAACTGTTGGAGCTAAAAAATAAAAACTAAAAGCCAAGGGATAAAGAAAAACGCTGTAAACTTCAGCATGCAACTTAAAATTCAAAGAAGGTCCGTCGCTGCAGCCTCTCCCCTTCGCACCTTCGCTCCCCTTGCTCCCTCGAAACCTCCTCCCTTGTCCCTTCTCTTTCCTGCATAGACTGGAAATTTCCGCTGCAGCACGTAGAATGTGCTGCACATCATGTCACGTTTCAGGTACCAACGTCACAATGTCAACGCCCCACAAAAACCAAAAACAAAATAAGTCAAGAAATAAAACAACAGCAAGAAGGCCCGAAGAGATCAATGGCTTGGTAAGTGGGTTGCGTATACGCCCCGTGAGCCCTCCAACATTTCATGTATTTTATTTCGGATGTGCTCTGAGCTGGAACTGAAACTCAAACTCGGGCCGAAGCTGTAACTGAAGAGTTTTGTAAACAAAACTTTTGACATTTGAGTATTTTTGGGGATTCCGAACCATTCAACTCGTCCACCGAAATAAACCAAAATCCACTGACACCGACACCGACTCCGACTCTGTCGCAGCCCAGTGGGTGTGTTTGGCCAAAAACAAAATGGGTTACAATAATGCCACAGATCGGCGGATAAGATGATGCATTTACTTTTGCATTTTGGTCGGGATGTATGTCGTGAGAAAGGTAAGCATTGTTGGCTGGCATCCGAGATTAGCGTGCGAACTGTTTTCAGACTCCCAGTCAAGGTTCTTTCAATTAGCAACTTAATAGGCAAAAAATCATGAAAAAGACACGGCAGGATAAATGGCTAAAAAAGCTAGCTGAAAAACATCAAGCCTTGGATTAACACTTACGTGCAAGGCTTCCATCCAATGATCAATGCATTTTATTTTGG